TCCTCCTTCCTGGATTCCTCTTGTGAAGCAGCTTTTCTGCAATGAAGAGTGGCTTGTGTAACCAGCATCAAGTTCCTCTGTTTACTGCTTCTCTGGAACTGTCAGAGGACAGCATTCATCATCTGTATCACCTTTCTGTCCTTTTCCAAGCCTCCTGGAACTGGAGCTGCAGTCTTGTTTCTCTCCACTAGTACTGGGCGCATGGGTCTCAGGAGCACATTAGAAAAAAGAAAAAAAAAATGTGGATCCAGGTCTACAGTGGCAGTTCAGCATTTCTACCAAGCTGTGGGTCTGTGCATCCAATTAACTAATATTTTTGCTTTCCCCCCTATTTTAGAAGCTTAAAATTTAATACTTCAAGCCATAAGGGAAATATTTTATTAAATTTTATTGCCTTTAAGTAGTTGTACAAAGGAGCTATCTCTTGTCTGTCTTCCCCCCACTCTCTCTCCAGAAAGAATAGGAGGCATCTACTCAAAACTGGCAGCACCTGAGGACTAAAGTTGCCTGAGTTCCCACCGGTCAAACTTCAATTGGTTATCTCTCAACATCCTATAAGAATCCCTGTGTAGCTCTCAACCTGGCTAAAAGATTGATCTTAAGATAACAGGGCCCAATTTTCTGCCTTAAATGACCCTCCCCTCTCCCGATTGCTTCCTAAATGGAACTGTATGGTAACTAGAGTTAGCGAAATCACCAAGATGAAAAGATGCACCATTTTCTTTAGCTTAAAACTATGGTTTTGGTTGTTTCAATATCAAAGGGAAACAAAAATCTGGGATAAGGATCAGAAGGCTCAAAGTAAAATTGTTAAGTAGGTCTTAGTATATTAAAGATGGAAGTTATGAATGGGTCATATACGTAATGAAGTTGGCTTTAATTTATAAGTCACCAAAAATTATATGGGTGAAAAGTTAATAAAGATGTTACATTGGCATATTTAATTTGTATTTGTGTGTGTGTGTGCGCGCGCGCACGTGCGTGCATGCACGCATGGGCACAGCACACACACTTCAGTACTGGGGCTTGAACTCAGGGCCTGCAAGCTATCCCCTTAGCCTTTTTACTCAAGACTTGTCCTCTACCACTTGAACCACAACTCCACTTTTGGCATTTTTGTAGTTTTTGCAGATAAAAGTCTCTTAAGACTTTCCTGCCCTGGCTGGATTTGAATCATGATTCTCAGATCTCAGTCTCTTAAGTACCTGGGATTATAGGCATGAGCCACCATCACTCAACTGTCTTAAAATATTTTTCTCTTAGTAACATTTGCAAAAAACTAGATAGCTTAAGCTTGATCAAAGATAAAAAGATTAAAAGATAAAAAGATTAAAGATAAAAGTTTACTTTTACTAGGCTTCTAACTATCTAGAAAATTAAGTCCTAACTAAATCAGAATTGATTTATATGTTGTTTATATAAAAGTCTCATATTAAGTGACTAGAAGTTAACATCCAACTAAATGTGTGGGCTACATGTCTAAAGTGTTTTGCAAAAGTTTACTGAATATAAGCACTTGCCTGTATTTCATAGCTATTCAGTAAATAAATGTCTGGCAAGTGCCCTCTAAAGAATATTCACTGAGCTAAGTGGACATTGTTATTTACAGAGATGCCCTTGTGGACCAAAAAAAAAAAAAATTATTCAGGGTCACTGGCACTGTTTCCCAGTAATCTGTAAGAAATCAAAAGTTCTGATTGGCATTAGTGATTTATAGCTGTATCTTATCTAGACTAAGATTTTAAACTTTACTCTAAAGGTAAAAAGTAAAGTTAGTATATATGTTTGGCATTTGTGTAACTATGACGCTAACTCTTTGTAGCCTCTGGTATATGTTAACTACATGTATTCTCCAAATATGTACACTTTCTAAAATGCCAAGTTGATGAAAGATAGTGATGTCTAAATTACTGATGTTACATGCATTCCTAATTATAACAAGAACTTCATAGTGGCTGGTGTAATGTTGATCCAAGATGTTATCCAAAAATGTCATATGCAGTGAAAATAACGAGACCTATTAATTGGTCAATTTATGGGAAGGAGAACCATCCCTGAGCTTTTTCACTCAAGGCTAGCACCCTACCACTTTGAGCCACAGCTGTACTTCCCGTTTTCTGGTAGTTAACTGGAGGTAAGAATCTTACGGATTTTTCTGCCCATGCTAGCTTCAAACCTCAATCCTCAGATCTCAGGCTAGGATTACAAGGGTAAACCACCAGTACCCAGCTTTTTCCCCAAATTTTAACCATAGATATTCTAAATATTTGTCATAATTATTTGGATCCTCCCTAAGGCATTTATGATCAAATTCCTGGAAACCAATTCTAGCAAGTACTTGTTTTCCAATTATAATATTAGTACTATTTTTCAAGGGATAATATTAAATCTGATAATAAAGAATATAGCCAAGGAAACTAATAAAATTCTGTCTACCCATGATGGTTTATTACAACTAAAACCATCTTATCAAGAAAACTTATCTAATCTTTCAACTATAGACCTTTACTCCCAGTATACAAAAGATCCCCTTAATTTCTTGTGGTTTGCAGGATAGTGAACTTGTCCACCAAAAGTATGACTCACCCCCCAAAAGATGAAATTATCTAAGCCATATCATAATTCCAGGGAAAATTATTTTGGCCTGGAAAACACAAAGATATTCTTAATATTATGGTAAAGGGAAGACAGTTAGCCAGGCTAACCATAAGTTATAAAGAGGACTGAGATACACAAATATGAATCCTTTGTGATTCAGAGCATTCTGAACCTCAGGTAATCTTGAATCATGTACACACGCTGCTACCTTAGGTAGCTTTGCAACCATAATGGCAAGATGACACTTTTGTCCAGTAAAGTATAAACAGCCACCACTGCTGGATAGGGCACAAAGTCTATGAGTCTATGCTACTGCTGTTGTATAAGTAGAGAGAGATTTGAATAAAGCACACCCTATTACTACCATAACTTGCCCTTTCTTTCACCTGTTCTAAATCATGCTTCCATCTGCTTGGAGCAGAGAACCAGAACCTGCACCATAATTGGCAGAGCCAGCAGGATTTAGAACAGGTTACTGCTTCCTGATGGCAGGGATGACTGCCAAAGGTAATCAGAAGGGAGCAGAGGCTACCCCCATAGCAGAGGCTCTGCTGGACCCCAAGGATGTAAGAGAAGCAGTGGGAGCAGCCCAGAGATGGTGCTGTGAACCCAGGGCAAACAACTGGCTGACAGGACACCTAGGAGAGACATAAGGAGCCCCTGTTGCCACCTCCCACTCCCAGGGGAAGCTGGGCCAAGAGGGCAGCCATGGAGCCTGGGAGCTCATCTGGCACTGGGTGCAGGTAAAGACCAAGTTCCAAGTAGCAGAGACAGTGAGCAGGTAGCTCAAGCTAACCAAGACCAGCTCATTTACTTAGCCAGGTGAGGGGGCGGGGGGGGGGAGAAGAAGCAATAGCCAAGACATGGCAGAATCACAGCAGAAGACAGAAAGAGCTGAGCATCACAGGTTCCTACCCCTACTTGACTGGACAGTGACTAGCTGAGCAGCAACCACACCTGAGGAAGCCTTTACCCGACTTGTGCCTCCTAAGTTAGATGCCAAGAGCAGGGTCAGAGGCCCATGGGCAGCAGGGCACAGTCTAAGAAAGACACAGAGCAAGCCTGGTCTATAGGCTGCACCACCTGTCAACAGCAATGAGCTGAACCACAGGCACTGAGAGGGCCAGGTAGATGATGGGCCAAAGCAGGAACCCGAGTGGCATGACCTAGAAGAGGCCCAAGCCCAAGGGAGGTGACGTCAAGAGATGGGCAGCAGCAGCCCATGCAAGTCCAGTGTGGCTGGTGAAGAAGCTAGATGGGACTTGGAAAGTGACTGTAGACCACTAAGGACTGTCCTTATCTAGCCTCTTTTAACAGCTACAAGAAATGTATGCGTTGTTGGAAAAAAAGAAAACTACTTCCAAGTAAAATACAATTTTGTAGACCCCAATTCTTAATTTTTTTTCTTCCATCTATAAAGCACTTTAAAAGTAGTTCCTGGGCTAGGGATATAGCTGATTAGTAGAAAATTTGCCTAGCATGTGGAAGACCCTGGGTTCAATCACCAGCAACACACACACACTCACACACACACACAAAACACAACACACAGAAACACAGTTCCATGTGCATACATTAACCTGTAATTCACACATCAGAAATATCAACAAGGTCTTCTGGTCATGTTTTGTGATGATTCCCAATAATATGGAAAACAAATCTGGATTAAGTCAATACCATCATCTAACCAAGGAGAGGTGGCAGATAAAACGTAAGTGGACGGGCTCCTAGCACATGCTACATTCTCCCATCAGGTTTTATGTAGCAGACAAGAATCAAATTTTAGCTTAAGAAAAAATTCAAGCACTTGTTGCCCGGCTGCTGCCATTGCCGGCTGTCTCTCTAGCTGACTGGTGCCTGGCTGGTACCCATTCCTCTCTTCCGAGTCTTTGTGAAGCTTCTCCTCCCTCTTGCCAAAGCGCTTCAGAAACTGGGGCTTCCATTTCTTCCAGCCCAGAGCTGTGGCTCACGCCTGTCATCCTAGCTATTCAGAAGGCTGAGATCTGAGATCTAGGGCAAACCCAGCCCGGGCAAGAAAGTCTGTGAGACTCTTCTTTCTAATTAACTAGAAAAAAACCAGAATGGAAGAAGGAGGCCCCGAGTTCAAGCACCTGTACACACACACACACGCACACGCACGCACACTCCCCGCACACTGTCTCCTGCGCGGCAGCCCCTAAACCCGGCTCCCACCTGGACGTCCGTCCGAGCAGTCCGTCGGGGCGGGATCCTCTCAGCTGAGGCACAGCCGTCCCCTCAAGCCAACCTTCCCAAGTCCCCACAGCGGCCGACGCGGGCCGCTGGCGTCTCCGTGACGTCATCTCCGGGCGCGCACACGCGCCTCGAGCAGCCTTCCCGCAGAGCGGACGGGGGCGTGGGCCCGGTTCCTGGCGCTGGCTCTGCGTGGAATTTCCACCGAACCCGTTGGCACGCGGCCGAGAGGAGAGATTGCGGAGATTATCTGCGAGTGCGGTTCTGGGGGGTCTGGCGGGGGCTGGGAAAAGGGCAGGAGGCGGTGAGACGGACGCCGCCGCCATGAAGAAGATCTTCGGCTTCCGGACCAAGGGCCCCGTGCCCCTCGGTTCCTCCGGGGGCGCCCGGCCCCGGCGGAGCAGCGCGGGTTTTGGCAGCGGGACTGCGAAGAACCCGGGGGCGCCCGGGTACTCCGTCCACGACAAGGATATGGGAAAGATCCACAAGGCGGCCAGCGTGGGTGATGTGGCCAAAGTACAGCACATCCTTCTTCTGGGGAAAAATGGTCTGAACGATAGAGACCGAAGGAACAGGTACTAAATCGGCTCTGCCGGGGAGAGGGACCGGTGTGCGGAAGCCGGCACCTTTTTTCTAGGCACCGCAGCTGAAGGACCTGAGAGTCCTCAGAAGTCCTTTTCCTAAGGACCCTTGACGTTTTCCCTCTTCCGCACTGGGGTTGCGCAAACCTTGAAAGACTCAACTGCCCTCGCCTTGCTGAGCGAAACAAGGACAGCTGACTTCTGGTCAGAGAGAGAAAGAGAAGGGGCTGGAGGGGGACGGAGGGAATGAATGCACGGCGCCACCTGCGCGCGCGTGTGTGTGTGTGTGTGTGTGTGTGTGTGTGTGTGTGTACTGGGGCTTGAGCCACCTGCGTGTGTGTGTGTGTGTGTACTGGGGCTTGATCTCAGGGCCTTGTGTGTGTGTGTGTGTGTGTGTGTGTACTGGGGCTTGATCTCAGGGCCTGGTGTGTGTGTGTGTGTGTGTGTGTGTGTACTGGGGCTTGATCTCAGGGCCTGGTGTGTGTGTGGTGTGTGTGTGTGTGTGTGTGTGTATACTGGGGCTTGATCTCAGGGCCTGGTGTGTGTGTGTGTGTGTGTGTGTGTGTGTGTGTGTGTGTGTGTGTGTACTGGGGCTTGATCTCAGGGCCTGGTGTGTGTGTGTGTGTGTGTGTGTGTACTGGGGCTTGATCTCAGGGCCTGGTGTGTGTGTGTGTGTGTGTGTGTGTGTGTACTGGGGCTTGATCTCAGGGCCTGGTGTGTGTGTGTGTGTGTGTGTGTGTGTGTGTGTGTGTGTGTGTGTGTACTGGGGCTTGATCTCAGGGCCTGGGCGCTGTTCCTTAGATTTTTCACTCAAGCCTGACGCTCTGCTACTTGAGCCACACCTCCATTTCTAGCATTTTACTGATTAAGAAAAATTTAAATGCTGACAGTTACAGTTGTCGCATATCAGAAATAATGTTAAAAATGTGAGAATAGCATCTTAGTCTTGTTGAACAACATACTCTTATCTGCAAAATAAGTTACTTTTTGTACTAAACATACTACTTTATTTTGTAATAAGGCATATTGTTATACTTAATTGAACTGTTGTCTTTGTTCAGTAGTAATAGTTACAGCTCACAATTTCTGAGCCAGTATTTATGCTACAAATTATTCTGAATAATTAAAAGTATAGATTCTTCATTAAGCAAACCACTGGAGTCCTTGAGATAACTATTTTTAATCATAATTATATGAATAAGAATACTGATCACTAGGAAGTTACAGCACTTAAAGTAGGATTCAGACCCAAGTTGCCCTAAGTTCAAAGATGATACTTTCTATGTGAATAGGCTCTTCTAAATTGCATGCTACTTAATATTTACAATGACAGGAATCTCTATCTGTATTTTAGTTAGTGTTCTGTATTTACCTAAAAAGCCCTCTCACTTTTCACAGGACTGCCCTGCACTTTGCCTGTGTCTTTGGTCATTCAGAAGTGGTGACTCTCCTTGTAGAGAGAAAATGTGAGATTGATGCCTGTGACAATGAGAACAGCACAGCTCTAATTAAGGTATATAGTAACCAATAATTTAGTATGAGATGGCTTTGATTTGAATGAATTTATGTCATTGAAATATACTAGTAGAGCTAAGTGCCTATGGCTTACTCCTGTACTCCTACCTTCTCAAAAAACTGAGATCTAACTATCACGGTTCAAAGCCAGCCCAAGCAGGAAAGTCTGTGAGACTCTTATCTCCAGTTAAACAACAAAGGCTGGAAATAGAGCTGTGATGCAAGCAGTAGAGCACCAACCTTGAGTGACAGCTCCCAAGCTCTTAGTTCAAGCACTAGTACCAACATACACACAAATATAGGTATATATACATATATATGCACACACATACATAGATATATAAATATACATTATATTGCTATTTTGTATATATTATATATGATAAGTATTAATATATAATGTGTTACAGCATTTTAACAATGTAATACACTGCATGGAGTATATGTTTATGTTATATATTATGATGTAATATATACTTTACATATTATATAAATATTATATGTGTTATGTATGTATATATGCCAATAGATAAAATGTGTCAAATGTCTTATTTTTAATTCCCTGCATTTATCATGTTTCTGTGTGCCCTAATGATAGGCTGTACAGTGCCAAGAAGAAGAATGTGTCACCATTCTGCTGGAACATGGTGCCAATCCAAATATTCCAGATGCCAGTGGCAACACTGCTCTGCACTATGCTGTATATAATGAGAACATACAAATAGCAGCCAAACTATTTGCACATGATGCAGATATTGAAGCAAGAAACAAGGTATATAGATCCATCTATTTGATTCCTAAATTACTTTTGAGTTGGGATGTAGCTCAGTGGCAAAGCTTTGCCTAGCAAATGTAACATCCTGGGTTCAATCCCCAGTACCCAAACAAAAAATACAAAAAATACAAAAGACAAAAAATACAGTTAAATTACTTGAAATCCATTTCTTTTAACAATGATAATATTATGATGATTCATATTTAATCATTTAATTTCAGCAGGCCTGTGCAACTAATTATTTAATTAACAGTCTAGGATAATTGAATACAATGAATTACACACTTAATCAATGTTAGAAAAGTTATTACATTCTGGGCCTAACATTTTGGTAAAACATGATACTAAAGAAAGAAAAAATTTTGCAAATATGTGCTTTGGAAACACATTCACCTCCTCAGCAAGGGGGAAATGAAGGGCTATGAACTAAATATAGCCTATAGATGTACTTAATTTGCTTGCATAATTTGAGTCAATAATTTAATTTCAGGAACTGCTGAAGAAATCTGAAATTCCAGCTACTCTCGAGAAATTGAATGTGGTCTTTGAACCCACAGGCCTATTTAGTGCCTGTGCTGAGAGTAGCCCCTATATAGGTCACATGTGACCTCCATTTGCTGTCACCTACTTTAAATGATCTCTACAAAAATTACAGTTTACAACTTCTTTTTTTTTTAAATAGTATATTGTGAAGCACATTTTAGAGGTTTAAAGACAGTTTATGATAATTTATTAAAAAGAGGTATTTTCTGATGATCTTAGAGATAGGGCTGAATTTTAGAATTTAGAAGTTGATATTAAAAAGAAAAATAGAAGTTGGTATTTTGTGTGTGTGTGCACCAGTACTGAGACTTGAACTCATGATTATCAAGGCTAACACTCTACCACTGGGCCATGGCTCCACTTCCTCATTTTTGCTGGCTATTTGAAGATAGACTTTTCTACTGGGGCTGGCTTTGAACCCTGATCTTCAGATCTTAGCTTCCTGAGTAGGTAGAATTACAAGCATGATCCACTAGTGCTGGCTTTTTTTTTTTTCCTAAGATTTTCTCTACCTATAATATAAATAGTCATCCCCATTAGAATGAATCATTAGGACAGTCAAGGTTAAGTAGATTATGAATAAAAAGTTAAGTAGATTATGAATATTGTAAACAATAGTCTATCCCTTGAGCCCTAGTCCTTAAAAATGCAAGTGGTTTGTTTACTGGCTGTACTGGTTTATGCTAAAGACAATTCATATATATCAGCATTATAATTTTATTGATACTACAGTGTACCTTTTAAAACATTTATATTTTACCTAAAACAAAAAAATAACTTTATGGCCATTAAAATTGGAACCAGAATAAAAACAGTAGCATTATGTTTGGAACTAGAATTATCATTATAAAGGAGAATGACTTTATTGAGTTTTCTAACAGCTAAGAAAAGATCTTTATTATAGGAGAAAAATGTGTAGACCATTTAGTAATAAGTAGTTACAGTCCATTTGAAACCTATATCTTTTAATTCAGAGCCCATTTCTGTAGTGACTGATTTGGAGCAGGTTGGAAGCTGGTATCTTGGCAACATAAATACAAGAGAATCAAGCAATTTTGTAAAACCTGAACAAAACTTCGATGCTGTTGGAAAGATCTTAAAACTGCATCCCTGAAACTTGACTGTCAAGTGTATTAATGTACTTATCAAGGAAATGGTCATGGAATCTTTTTGTTGGGGCATGGTACTTCTGGAAAAGCAAATAAATACTTTTCAGAATATGGATTGAGAAGTCCTGCTCTATACATGATAACTTAGCTCATTAGGTTACTAAAATACTTAGAAGAGATAATACAATCTATTTCCTGCAGATATTCTTCATTTATATGAGGAACAATCATATTCCTCTAAAATACCATGGTAAATGCTGTCATACAAGGGAAGATTTGTAAAGCAATGAAGTGGGGTTTTTTTTCTGTTTGTTTTTGTTTTGTCTGCTGGTTCTGTGGCTTGAACTCAGGGCCTGGGCACTCATCTTAATTTTTTGTTCAAGGCTAGCACTCCAGGTAAACCTCCACTTCTAGCTTTTTGCTTTATTAATTGAAGTTAAGAGTCTCATGGCCTTTCCTGCCTTTGCTGGCTCTAGACTATGATGCTCAGATCTCAACCTTTTGAGTAGCTAGACCAATATGAGTAAGTACCAGTACCCTACCAGCAATGAAGAGTTTGACCTGAGTTTTTGAGAGGTTGAAATTTCATATTGCCAGTTTAGGCAGAAGAGGGGCATTTAAAGCCAAGTAGTGGGAGAAGGAAAAGAGACTACTGTATATAAACACTCTGCGTTATATTTATATTCATGGCACCATGTAGAAGATTTTACTTTCAGTTAAGAAATATATAATTTGTGAGTTATAAACTTGTCTTCCAGGATGATCTCACACCACTTTTATTGGCACTAAGAGAAAAGAAACAGCAAATCGTGGAATTTTTCATAAGAAATAAAGCAAAGACTTGTGCAGTTGATGAGCTGGAAAGGTATAGTACTTTAAAAAAAAAAAAACATTTTAGTGAAGTGTTCTCAAGTGATACTAATCACTCAAGCCAAAAACTTTAAATTAGTAGGAAGACAATTTAATTATTAGAATATAGTGAAAAATATCAATAGGCTATCAAGGAGAAAAGCAGTTATCTGGGCTAGGTAACATAAAGGACAATAAACAGGATTCAAGTTCTCTAATTGTTGACTGATTGTTATTTATAATCTGATTTTGATTGTCTTATGGTCCTATATAAAGCTATAGAGATTCATGGTTCTATATAATATGAACTGTGAGCTTTTTGATTTACTGTGGAACTTCTTAACACTTTCCAGATTTTTTTGGTTTTTTGTTTCGTTTTTATGTGCCAGTATTGGGTTCAGAACTGAGAGCCTGGGCCTGTCCCTTACCATTTTGCCTAAAACAGGTACTCTACCATTTATAGCTCCACATCCGGCTTTTTCTTTTTTTCTGATTTGAGATCAGTGTTTCATAGACTTTCCTGCAAGGGCTAGCTTTAACCCCCTTCCTCGTATCTCAGTCTACTGAATTCCTGAGTAGCTAGGGTTATTAGGTGTGAGCCACTGGTACCTGGCACCTTTCATAGTATTCTTCTACCTGTACTTCTTATATACTTTTCCTTTTAAAATGCTGTATTAAATATATGAGGGTTGCAAATCATTTTTCTTTTGGAGGACTGTGTTTCAAATTGCTTTCTTTGAAGAATATTGATGTTACATTATCTTTAACTGACTCCTATAATTATTGTTACCAGGTGATATTCAGGTTTTTTATTTTTACTTTCTAATGTAGTTTGGTATTTTTATTTTTAATTCACATGGACAGAGGGAAGATAAATAACTTTAGTTGGGTAAACTTTCCTTTAGTAAAGATAAGCCATTGGATAGTGACAGAGTGCCCAGGCCCTGAGTTCAAGCCCCAGAACAGCACAAAAAAATAAAATAAAAAATTTAAGAACCTGGTGAGCTGAAGCAATAAAACCTCTAATTTTTAGAAGACTTTGAAACTGAGAAAAATGATTCACCCAAGAGAAATGGCTGTTGGCTACAGAACTACAACTTGAGAGTTCAAGATACGTTCCATGTTCTCAAGCTAAACTAATGAATGTGCTGAGTTGTAGATCACTTAACCCATAAATGTTTCACTTCATTGTCTTCTCTAGTTATAAGCATTCTTAAAAATTTGAAGAGCTTAGACATTTGAAGCATATATGACATGGAGTTTTAATTTTGAATCAGATATTCTCTGAAAGACTTCAGAATTTAATATGTTTGGCAGGCATTTTTTGTATGAGTATTCAAATAGTAATTTACTTATCTTTTGTTTTTCTACATAGTAAAAGGCAAGTATTTTCTGACTGTGAAGAAAAGAGACTTAAAAATTCTGAAAATGGACATTCAGGTAAAATTTCTGATTTTAAATTTTTAAAAAATTACATTTGGTGGACCTGCCCTAGAAAAGTGTCTGAATAAGGAACTGAGCTGAATGCTGGTGGCTCACACTTGTGATCCTTGCTACTCGGGAGGCTAAAGTCTGAGGATCACAGTTTGAAGCCAGCCTGGGCAAGAAAGTCTGTAAGACTCTTTATCTCCAATAAATTTTTTTAAAAAGCCACAAGTGGAGCTGTGGCTCAAGTGGTAAAGTGCTAACCTTGAGCAAAAGCAACACAGGGATAGAGCCCAGGCCCTGAGTTCAAACTCCTGGACCAGCAAAAAAACAAAAAAAGACAAAAAAACATTGATCACAGAAGAACAATTTAAACAGTGTAGAATTACGCTTACATTATTTCCTAATTTCTTTTAGTGTAGAGTTTGGAATTATTATGAAATTATAATGTATAATCTGCAACACTTTTATTAAGCAAGATTTTTCATTTAAATTTTGTCCCTAAAATCATTAATATTTTTGTATAAATAAGAAAAGAGGGCTAGGATGTAGCTCAGTGGCAAAGCACTTGCCTAGCAAGTACAATGTCCTGGGTTTGATTCCCAGTACCAAAAAAGAAAAGAAAAAAATACACTTAAAAAAAGAGAGAGACTTTTAAGGCTGAGGTGCTGGTTTGAAATCTACCTAGGCATGAAAGTACTTGAGACTTTTGTCTCCAATCAACTAGCAGAAAGCCAGATAATGATACATGGCTCAAGTGGTAGAGTGTTAGCCTTGAGTGAAAATGCTAAGGGATAGCACCCAGGCCTAAGTTTATGTCCTGGTACCAACACACAGACACAAAAGAAACACTTAAATTAGTGTGCTACGTGTTTCCTCTATATTCACATTACAGCAAATCATACTTATAGAACTGAATTTTCTATTGGATTTTTTTACAATAAGCATTTTGCACTTTTTAAATGAACATTATTGTAGTTTATTATAGTTTTGTCACTAACTGAATTATGCATTTTCAGATTCTTCAGTTCAGGAGAGAATACTCATATTCTCTTACTGTGATTTTTAGTTATATCCACTTTTATAGTGACTTATGTCTTGCCGTAACATATGTAATATATGATAATAGATTCAGTAAATACCTTTTTTATTAATTTACTTCTTTAATTTTTTCTTGTTACAATGCTGGGAATGAAATCCAGAACTTCATGCATCCTAGGTAAATGCTGCATCACTGGGCTATACCCCTGAAACCTTAATACTTTAAAGATAATTTTCAGTTCATAGCACAACTGAGAGGAATATTCAGAAATTCCCCCATATACCCTGTGCTCTCCAAGCATAGCTTGGAGTGCTGAATAGTAGACATGTTACAATGGTGATTCTGAGATAATGACAGGTAAGTTCACCATTAGTGCTATATGTTCTGAGGATTTAGGCAAATGTCTGACATGTATGTATCATAGGTTATAATCAGAATAGTTTCTGTGCTCTACAAATCATGTGTTCTCTACATTTTTGTTCCTCATCTGCTAATCTCTGGTAACCACTGATTTTTTGATGTCTTAGAGACTCTTTTTTTTCCATAGTAATTCTGTAGTTAGAATATTGTAGTGAATGTTTTTTTAGTTTAAAATACTAGTTTTACCAGGCCCTGATGCAGTCCTAGCTACTTAGCCTGAGATCTAAAGATCAAGGTGCAAAGCCAGCCTGGCAGGAAAGTCCATGGGACTCTTATCTCCAATTCACTAGCAAAAAGCCTGAAGTGGAGCTGTGGTTCAAGTGCTAAAATCCCATCCTTGAGCAGGAAATCTAAGGATAGATAGCCCTGAATTCAAGCCCCAATACCAGCAAAAACAACAACCTCAAAAAAAAAAACTCTCAAATTTACTTGCCATTTTTATCTGTCATGGAATAAACCATTCCATAGGTAGGAGATAACCTCCTCATTTTAGGAAGATCTAGTTCTATTTCTTTGTCCTCCCCCTCAACCCCCCCTCCCACAACACACCCATAAGAATTAGACATAAGAATCTTACAGACTTGCCTGCCACTGCTGGTTCAGACCTTGATCTTCAGATCTTGAGTAGCTAAGATTTCAGGTTTGAGCCAATAGACCCTAACTAGGAGAGATTAGGAGACTAGGAGAGAGGGTTAGTGACAGCACTCTATATATCTCTTGAACTCTTCTCATCTGGCAGCTAGAAAGTCTTTGCAAGCATCTTTGTCCCTGATCTGTTTCCTCTATCTTGACAGGCTACTAAGTACAGTGTCTGTAGATATAGGTCCCATGTGATAGGATGTTTCATCCTAAACTGAAAATCTGGCTAAGCTATGTTGTGTCTTAACAAAATGAGTATACTGTCTTGTAATTGTTTCTAGTACCATTAGTCCAGAAAAACCGTATCTGTGTTTGAGATTGTAGGCTTATGGTTCCTGATTCGATTACCAATAATTGAGTCTGTCATCCTGATATATAGTTATAATTATGGTCACTGCACATAGCAGTTTAGACTTAGGCATCAGAATTTGATAAACTCCAGTATTTATTGTATTTGATAACTCCCAAGTAAACGAAGTAAGAGTTCTTAATTCATTAGTTGCCTACCATTAGTATAACTAATAATCATTCCTAATAGTCTCTCTAACTTTAGAGTCTTTAACATCTTTTGTTGTTCTGTGTTTTCTATTATTGATTTAAAATTTATTTGTACTCTTTTCTTTAATAGACGATGAAATTTCCGAAGATGATTCTTTAACCAGGTAGGGATTTATAGATTTAAAAAGTTATTGCCTAACTAATTGGTACATACACTTAAACTAAGATTTGTTGAGTTTTCTACTCTGAGCTGGATAGCTTATTATGTTATGTAAACATTATGTTTACATTTTGGGGGATAGTACTGGAATTTGAACTCAGAGCTTCACTCTTGCTAGAGAATTGTGAATCAAACCTTTTTTGTTTTGGTTGTATAAAAACAAAGTACAGTTTGTCACTACACTTGTCAAAAATAATAGGACAAACTAAGAATATAATCAGGCTGATTGAGGGAATTACAAATCAGAATTAATGTATAGCTAAACTAGATCTCCAAACCGATCAGATAGGAACTTCCATCTATGTATGTATTATGTGTGTAGGTGTATGTCTAGATATATTTCTTTTCATTGTGATATTTTCATACATGCACAAAATGTATGCCAATCAAACCTATCCCTTCTGTCATGTCTTACCCTCTTCTCTCTCTCTTTTTTTGTGCTAGTCCTGAGGTTTGAACTTATTGTCCATACATACACATGCATATATACATAATATATACATACATGGAAGTTCCTATCTGGTCAGTTTGGAGAATCTAATTTGTTTTTTGTTTAGGAAAGTGCTGAGACTTGCATTCAGAGTGCTGAACCCTCACTTACCTTTTACCACTTAAGGCTTTTACTTTACCACTTGAGCCACAACTCTGCTTCTTTATACTCATTTTAATCAGAAAAGGTTTTAGGGCAGATCTAAATTGGTTATGCCCATATGCCATATGCATTATATCAGCAATATATGCCAAGTTCTAGGGAAGAATCACTTTACTGAAAGGGAAGAATATCTATGTGTAGATGTTTTATTATTTTTGGAGTCAAAAATGTTCAAGGGAGTCTTCTACAGGTTGTTGCTTTTGGTTTTTTTAATTACAAGAACTGACAGCTAATGTTTCCTTTGAAAGCTGTCAAGAATTTGAACAACTGGGAAGTCTTTTAGCAGACAGGAATATGGGATTCTCTGTTGCTTTTGACACCTCAATTTATAGAAGGTGACTGAGCACCAGGGAACTGGAAGTACTGAGCACAGGAAACTAGATTTGTGGCCTATGGCAGATTCCCTCATCTCCATCTCTTTTCCGCTTGCTTGCTTGCTTGCTTTTTCTTTTCTGTTTCTCTCTCTCTCCCTCTCCCTCTCTCTCTCTCTGTCTCACTCTCTTTTACTCTTTTTCTCGTGTGTGTGCGTGTGTGTGTGTGTGTGTGTGCGTGTGTGTGTGCGTGCGTGTGCCAGTACTGAGACTTGAACTCAGAGCCTGGTCCTTTAGTTTTTTCCCACTAAAGTCTAGTACTCTGCCTCTTGGGTCACAGTACCACTTCCAGCATTTTGGTGGTTAATTGGGGATGTCTCACAGTCTTTGATGTATGGGCTAGCTTTGAGTCCCTGATCCTCACATCTCAGTCTCCTGAGGAGGACTGTAGGGATGAGCTATTGGCACCCAGCTTTTTTTCCAATTGTTTATGGCCTTCCTGTATATAAAGGGTAGGATTGGCTGGAAAATGAGTCACAGAGCTTCAGTTGGGTAGTTGATAGCAGGCCTGTGTTTAAGAATGGGTTGTTGAGATGCTATTGACTTACTTCCTAGGAGCAAAAACATGGAGCCCATCTCCATTTAGCTTGTCTGAGCCTGTCTTTTTAGGAATATGCACCTTCATAAAATTGAAGGTTTAAATATTGAGGAATACCATTGAGCCCTGCAGAAAAGGGATCTGGAATTGGAAACACAGAGGAAGATATTAGGATAGTACTTATGGAAACAACGGTACGACTACTAGGACTTTTGTTTTTCAAGCTCTCTTTCTCCTTAAATGTATGAGTAGCCTATGAAGGTTTCCAAAAACTTGCTAGATCTGGGCACTGGTGGCTTGTGCCTCTAATTCTAGCTATTAAGGAGGTTTATATCTGAAGATTCAGATTCGAAGCTACCATAGTCAGGAAAGTCCTTGAGATTCTTATCTCCAATTAACCAACAAAAATCCAGAAGTTGAGCTGTGGCTCTAATGTCAGAGCACTAAACTTGAGCAGAAAAGGTTTTGAGTTCAAGTGCCCATGCCAAAACACAAAAAATAAAATAAATACCAAAAACTTACTGGTTTTTGTCGACTTGAATAAGGCATGTCCTATACAGGAACTTTTAGAACTTTTAATGTGTCATTTTCTCCGAAAAGAATATTGCCAGTAACAGTATATATATTTTGTATTGTATACTTCTGTATATTTAACATTCAGACATTTTAAATGTTTCAAAATACTAGTGCTTATACTGTTTCATCAATTGTAAAGGGAAGCAATGGGTGTTCTTATTAGAAGATTTTGATACTAAAGAACTGAGACAGCCATATTTTACTCACCCAACTTAGTCTTTGAACAATGCCTGGTAGTTAACATCTTTCTATCTTGTTGCAAGTTACCACATTTTGTTTCAGTTCTGGGAAGAAAAGTCTTGTCAGCCATTAGTTGGGTTTCTAGTACAGTCTTCAGGACAATTAATTTGTGAAGCCAAATTATTTGTATTGACTGATATACTTTGATATGAAACTAACAGTCTTTACTGAACAATTTTACAAAACAAGAAATGGAGTCAGGAAGAGTAAAATGTTGAATTATATCAGTCAGAAAGAATCATTTAATGTATAGATAGCTAACTTTTCATTAGCTTTCCTTAAGCTAATGAACTCAATGTATCCATTTTTATTACCTATTTTTGTTCTAAAAATAGGCTTTCCAACACACCACCTGGTCCTGGTGACCCCTGGCCTTCATCAGATGAAGATGACTATGATTTTGATAATAAGGTAAAGTGCTCTTTTGTGAAAGTATTTTTCTTGCTCTTAATTAGTATTGTAGGGCTGGGAAGGTGGCTCAGTGGTAGAGCGCTTGCCTTGCATGCATAAGGCCCTGGGTTCGATTCCTCAGCACCATTTAAGTAGAAAAATCCGGAAGTGACACCGTGGCTCAAGTGGTAGAGTGCTAGTCTTGAGCTGAAGAGCTGAGGGACAGCACCCAGGCCCAGAGTTCAGGCCCCACGACCAGAAAAAAAAAAAAAAAAAGTAGTATTGTAGGGTTTTCTATTAAAATGTATCACTTGTTAGGTGCCGGTGGCTCAAGCCTGTAATCCTAGCTACTCAGGAGGCTGAGATCTGAGTATCATGGTTCAAAGCCAGCCAGGGCAGGAAAGTCTGTGAGACTCTTATCTCCAATAAAACCCACCAGAAAACTGGAAGTAGCGCTATGGCTCAAGTGGTAGAGCACTTGGCCTTGAGCTGAAGAGCTGAGGGACAGTGCCCAGGCCCAGAGTTCAATCCCCACAACTGACAAAAAATAAAATAAAATGTATCACTATTTTATATGGAATGTTGAGCAGATAAAACCCATTTTATAGATGAGCTGTAATTAGTTGAACTTCTGTTTTGCTTTTTTTTTTTTTTTTTTGTCAGTCATGGGGCCTGAACTCTGGGCCTGAGCCCTGTCCCTCAGCTTTTCAGCTCAAGGCTAGCACTCTACCACTTGAGTCACAGAGCCACCTCTGGGTTTTTCTGCCTATGTGGTGCTGAGGAATTGAACCCAGGGCCTTATGCATGCAAGGCAAGCACTCCACCACTGAACCACCTTCCCAGCCCATTTTGCTTTTTTACTTGGTAAATACCAAAGACTAATAAATACATTGAGAGAAAGGACTGGAAGACACATAGTGGTAAGTAAAGTATATGAAGGGCATCTTTTTTATAATAGATAAAACATAAAATTTGGCCAAGGATTGTTTGTGTCATAATTAACTACTGTGACTAAGTGGATGTAGTAGGTCACATCTGTATGTTTAGTGACTCAGGAAGTGGATATTGGAGGATTTAGGTTTTAAGCCAGCCCTGGAAAAAAGTTTGTGAGACCTCCATCTCAACCAGTATAAACTGGGCATGATGGCACAAGTACTTGGGAGGCATAAATAAGAGGATCATGGTCCAGGCTAGTGCACATATAAATGCAAGATGCTTGTGAAAAAAGAAATAATAGTTAAAATGGACTTGAAGTGTGTCTCAGCTACTTTGCAAGCTCAGGTTCTGGAGCTCAAGCCCAACGGCCAACAAAAACAACAGCAACAGCAAACAAAAATAAAATAATGTCCTGTAGTTTTGTACTTTTATTTTTCTTTCCTAGGCACGTTATTTTAGTACCATAATTTATAGGAGAGATTTTTCTCTATTTCTATTCTGGTTTCTGTGTTTATACTAACATAATATTAGAAATTGTAGAAATATACAAATTAAACATCCATCTCAAAATTTGTATTACAATGGAATTGTATGGTGTTTTCTAAGTCATCCATTGTGCATTTAATTGAAAAATTACATTTTGCAACCCAAAATACAATCAATTCTAAGCCAGAGACTCTGTAACAATGTGGTAAAACATTAATTTCTGTATTTTTTTAATTTTAGTTTTTAAAAATACTCATTCAATGTCCTGTGTCATAATCTAACATTTCAAATTTTATACATCCTTGTACCAGTTTACATAATTATTTTTAAGATCATACATCATCATGAGCTTGTGTAGATTAACAATATATTTTTGTGTGTCCTGCAGCATCTAAAATATGGCTTTATATGCAAGAAACATTTTAATATTTTAAAATGAATAAACAAACAGATAATGGTGTTCCAAATAATTAAAAATGTATATTATATATGAATATCATACATATATAATAAAATCCACTGAATTTCTGAAAGTGTGACTTAAATTATATTTCCTTCTACTCATCAGTATATAATATCAGGTGAGTTACATCAAGGAAATATCACATATAAAAATAGAATACAGTTTCAGTACGTTCTAGTGTCCTACAACTATGAACTTAGGTTATTATTTAGATTATTATGAGACCTATCCTGTGCTGCAATGAATATACCAATTTTTGTCCAAGTGGGAAATTGATGGAACATTATTTTTTCCATTGTTCTTTCCCTGTTATACCTGTGGTTTTACAGATTTCAGGTAGTCGCAGATAACCATGTCTAACTACTTGCATTATTTACCTTATAGTATAAAATTAGACTGTTAACAATAGTTTTTACAAAAAGATTAATGCTGTGGATCACACTTGTAATCTTAGCTACTCAGGAGGCTATGATCTGAGAATCATAGTTCAAAGCCATCCCAGCCAGGAAGGTTCATGAAACTCTTATCTCCAATTAACCACCAGAAAACATGAAGTAGAAGTGTAGCTAATGTGGTAGAGCACTAGCCTTGAGCATAGAAGCTCAGAGACAGTACCCAAGCCCTGAGTTCAAGCCCTGTGACCAGCAATAACAACCACCAAGTAATTATAACAAAATACACATCAATATTTTTAGGAATATATGGAAGAAGTCTTTCTTAGGTTTCTTTACAAACCCTATACTTAATATTTTTTCTCTTGTACCCTCATGTGTAATCAACCTCTAATTACTCCCTTCTCCTGTGTCTCTTTTTGTCTTCCCTTTTTCATATGATTTAACTCTAGCCTAAATTTCTCATTGCAGAGAAAATTTCTTCATTATTTCTTTCTTCAGTCCATCCCTGTATCCACTGTTGGCACATTTGGTTACACCTTTCTGTTTAGTAGCTGTCTGTGGCTTTCCTTCCTCAATCACTGCCTCACAAGATTCTTGGTCTATTTCCTCTTTTTTAGAAGGAGCCTAATATATATAATCCTTTGGCTTTTGACTTAATCCATAGTTTGCAATTCCAACCCATCTCAATAAGATTAAAAAGTAAGCTTCACATTTTTCTCTTCTAGAGGTAATTCATGCAAATGCAAATCCTAGAAACATTCAGAATATTAGATGTAGTAAATTTCTTAATTTTAATTTAGTATTAGTTTTTTTAAATACTATAGTAGGATAAAACTTCTGGTTATTTTGGTTAAAACAATAATCTCTAATTGCTTTTGCAGTGATTGAATAGCATGTTAGAGGTAGAGGAGTAACATTTAGAAGTAACTCTTAACAAATCTCTTATAATCCTTACTCCTTGAGAATATGTATGTTAATAAATGGCAGACATGATGTTATAATCTACATCTACATTCTGGAGAAATCTGCCTTTTATATTAGGCCATACAGTAGTGGTAAATATAACAATTATTTTATCAGTTTTGATCATTGTTATTTTCATGCTTTTTTAAATTCTAGAATGCTCCAAAAGTAAACTTAAAAGATCTATGGACTGCAGCACAACAATCCAGGAAAAATCGTAAGCTATTTGAAGACTGCCTATTATACTATTGCTTGACTTAAAAATAACAGATATTTTTTCACATAGTTTTTCTCATCGTCATAGAAACAAGATGTGACTTTAGGAAAGTAGAAACCAGAACTTTGTTTGACAACAATAATTCTGATAATGAAAAAGAAGATGTGGTTGAACTCCTTCCTAAAACATCAGTCAAAGTCCAGAGCTTTTCTCTTCCTTCCTCTTTATCACCTGATCCCATGGTAAGATAGTGTTGTTTTGTTTTGCTTTTTTTTGTCTTAACTGTTTTTCTAGGGCTCCTTTGCACATATATCTCTCCAATCTCAGTCTTCATTGTTATGATAGTCAAGGTTTTCAGCTGAGGTTTTTGATTGACTTAGTAACATTTTCCAAATATCAATTTTTTCAAGATTTTGATAATCTTGCTGAATTCTTCTTTTGTATCCTGTGGTATCTTCCTTATTCGAGCAGTTATTCATGCTGTCCTTAATTTATTGGTCACTCTTAAAATCATCCTTTTGAATTTTGTGAAATTTCATCCACTTCAGTGTCATTGAAGGCATTTATTGTGGAATTGTTGTCTTTTGGGGGAGTCACATTCTATTACCAGATTTATTACAATTTATTAATATTTAACTTTTATTATGGTTTCTAATTTGGTCTTTGATAAAAAAAATTATCTTAATTTTTTTTACTCTTTTGAGTATAATCTGGTAACTTTTAAGTATTTTTTAAAGGAAAGGGAAATTTTATAATTAAGCAGTTGAATTGAAATTTCTAGTTATGTAAATAAAGGAGTTTGTTTTTTTCTCTTACAAATTTTTTGTGGTAGCTAACATCAAACCCAAAGGCCTTGCATTCTAGATAAGTACACTATCACCAGAGTTGTAATCCTTATCCCTTAATTCGGAAAATGTTACATGCTCTGACATTCTTAAAGTAAAAACTTCTAGATATCATTTCTGTCTAGAGCTGTTCTGACTTGTCTTTTCCTAACAATATCTGCATATAAAAGATGTACATATCAAGTGAGTATAATTAAAATTTGTAACTATTTTTCATAAACGAGGTACCTGTAAATGGAATCATAAGGAAATATTACAACAGATTATTTAACATTATTTCTGGAAGATGATTATTTTATTTTTATTAAATTTAATATTTAAAGTTTTTTGTTGTAGTTTCTTTTGTTGGATATATTGGGTTTAGGTGGGGCTAGTTGTAAAACTCCAGGCCTAACTTATGCTAGGTGAGGGCTCCCCTGCTCTGCTGTACCTTAAGCTCAAATATTTACAGGTATCAAACTTTTTTCAAGTAAATTCTTCCATCTTCAAGAATCTTTTTAATTAGATTTTATTTTCCCTATTCTTGTTATGTGAATATTTGGTGCTTCTTGACAACATTGAAAGTCTTTGAAAAACACCGTATTACAGATTTGCTCTGCCACTGTGGTCCATTCCTAGCCATGAAGACTTATACATCTTCAGATAGGATAATGATTCCATATGTATGTATATGAGTATGTACAGAAACACACATACACACACACACTTAAAATTCTTTTTTTTTATGTTGGTACTGGAATATGAACTCATGTTTGCTAAAGAAACATTCTACTGCTTGATCCATTCTACTACTTGGAATTGTAACTGCACCACTATTCCCAGCCTGGTTTGAGGTAGGATATTCCTTTTGCCCATGCTGGCCTTGATCTACATTCCTTCTCTCTCATCTCTTCTGAATAGCTGGAACTATGGCTTTTTCCAGTTCTTAACTATCAAGCAGTGATAGTAAAAATAGGCTATAAGAAGTATTGCAGATGTTAATACTGGATTTTACAATTCTTTTTTACATCATATTGGTAATTCAAAATGCCTAATTCTGTAATTACATACTCTGTTTCTCTGCAACCTAAACTTTCTCTGTCTCTCCCCCCCCTCTTCCCTTTTCTCTCCCTCTCTCTCCTTCTCTCTCCCCCTGTCCCCCCCCCCACCACCTTAGTTTTTTGTTTTGTGATGTGTCTTATGTTGCCAAGGCTAGTATTAAATGCCTGGTCTCCTGCTTCAGCCTTTTAAGTAGCTGAGCTCCAAATAGTTGACATTAGAAGGGAATGCCACCAAGCCTGGCCTACAATTTAAAATTGAACATTTTATTTTATATTTTAATTATCTTCTCTGAGTGCCAGTGGCTGGTAAAATCCTAGTCACTCAGAAGGCTGAGATCTGAGGATCTTGGTTTGAAGCCAGCCCTGGCAGTCTGTGAGACTGTATCTAATTAACCACAAGTAAACCAGAAGTGGAGCTGTGAATCAAAGTGGTAGAATGCTAGTCTTGAGCGAAAAAGCTCAGGGACAATGCCCAGGCCCCAAGTTTAAGCCCTATGACTGACCCCAAAAAAACAACAACAAAAAAAAACTTCTAGTAACTTGGCAAATTGATATTTAAATCTTTTCACTAAAATTTATAAATTACAATATTTCATAATTAAACATTTGCATAGGTAATGAGAATATCTTTGAAACAAATACTGACATATATAATTGAAAAGTTATGTTCTCTCTCTTTCAGTTGAAAATTTTCAGAGTTCTTTGTCATTATTTCAGTATACTAGTTTATTATATTTATAAGTTTTTATCTTTTAAGCCAATATGCTTTCCATAAGTTGTATCTATTACTTCCAATGCATTCTTTCTGTCTTCTAATTGTTCTGTATGCCTCAAGTTTGATATGTCACAATCAGAAGACATTGATCTTGACCCTATCCTGGCTCTGTGTTAATCTGTCATTCATTTGTCCTATCAAAAATGAACTTATTGCTGGGCGCTGGTGGCTCACACCTGTAATCCTTACTATTCAAGAGGCTAAGATCTGAGGATCATGGTTCAGTCAACCCAGGCAGGAATGTCTATGAGACTCTTCAACTAACCACCAGAAAACCAGAAGTAGTGCTTTGGCTCAAGTGGTAGAGCGCTCGCCTTGAACAGAAGAGCTCAGGGACAGCCCCCAGGCCCAGATTTCAAGACCCACTACCAACAGGGGGAAAAAAAAAAGAACTTATTTTTTCCTAAATAATAAATAGCATTGAAACACTGAAGATGGATTCCCATCATCTTTCAGATCACCATTCAAGTCACTCAAGTTTTGTATTTTGTACTTGCTTATCATATTTCATCTCTACCAGGATTCACTGTCTCATCTTTATATTGAAATACTGTTTACTAGTCCTCCTTCTTTCCCCATTAGGTTCATTCATCTTTACCTTGCTGCCAGAATGTGAGAAAAACTATCTTTTCTATCTAAGTGGGTTGCTTAAAAGTTCCTGCTTTTGCCTGTTGGTTTGGCTCTTGTTAATTATTCTGATAAGACAATATCTACAAGTAAGAAAGGAGAAAGAATTGCTTGAGATAAGGAAAGATTTTTGAAATGCAAGTTCTGTTTTAACTATCTTAAGTCCTAGACTTAAGATACACCTCTGGTTGTTCGCTCATATCTATAATCCTGTCTACTCAGGAGGCTGAGATCTGAGGATCGCAGCCCAAAGCCAGCCCAGGTAGGAAAGTCCATGAAACTCTTATCTCCAATAAACCACTAGAAAACCTGATGTGGCGCTGTAGCTCAAGTGGTAGAGTACTAGCCTTGAGCTGAAGAGCTGAGGGACAGTGCTTAGGCCCAGAGTTCAAGCCCCATGACCGACAAAAAAAAAAAAAAGAAATGACAGAGGGTGTGGATATGTTTTGAGATTACTTGTGTACTTTTTTAATCTTATTCGGAGACTTTTATGGTTCCCTTATGTAAACATCTTATATTCAACTAGCCAATAGAGAACAGATGGCGAATCTGAGTTCAACCAATCTGAGCAGAGGAGCAGGATCTGCTTAGTTAGGGATAATAGGGGTCCAGCCTGCCTGCTCTATATGATTCCTTGTTTGGCTGATGGTATACCCTTCTGCATACTTAAAATTTGTCTTGATGAGATAATTCTTTATGTTTGTGTTTATCATTTTTCTTGTATCAGTACTATAACTTGAATTCAGGGCCTGGGCACTGTCCCCTTAGCTTTTTCATTCAAGCATGGCACTCTACCACTTGAACTATATCTCCACTTCTTGCTTTTTGGTGGTTAATTGGAGATAGAGTCTCATGAACTTTTCTGCCTGGGCTGGCTTTAATCTGTAATGTTCAGATTCCAGCCTCTTGAATAACTAGGATTACAGGCATGCACCATCTATGCCTGACTTGGAAACATTCTTACATGATACATAACTTCTGTGGTCTGCACCGACACTTCTCTTTTATCGGTCTATCACATAAGTATATTCAATTTTATCCACTTACATTGCTATCCCTCCCTATGGGGGTTGTTTCCTGCCTCATCCTGTGCTATCCTTTAGACTTTCTATGTATACACATTTAATTGTAGAACATGAATTTGATACTTGAGGGGCATGTTGGCTCACACGTGTAATCTTAGGTAATCAGGAGGCTAAAGCCTAAGGATCTTCATTTGAAGCAAGTCTCTGAGCAGGAAAGTCCATGAGACTTTTATCTCCAATTAAAATTGGAGAATGAAGCTGTGGCCCAAGTGATAGAGTGTCACCCTTGAGCAAAAAAGCTAAGGGACAGCAATCAGGCTCTGAGATCAAACCCAGTACTGGCATATACACACAAAAATATAATGTCTTATTGACAGGTTGCATGAGTGAATGGGGAAGCAAATAATATGCTTTCTGAGCTTGGATTTTGTTGTTGTTGCTGTTATTGTTTCTATAGGAAGGAAAAACTGAGCCAGCAATTGGAAAAGGAGAGAATGACACTAATATTATTGAGAGTGCTTCACAAGAGCTAGTGAACAATGACAACTTAACTCATGTTGATGGAAGGCACAGAAATAATAAAACTGGTAAGTTACTGAATACCTAAAATTTTTTGGATTTTCAAATCCTGTTATTACAACACCAAAGTTTGTAAATCCTGCCAAAAATGGTATCTATTTCTTTTCAATGTTTTGTTGTTGTTGATGATGTTATCTTCTGGCTTCTAATTGTGATTCATTCTTGCTATTTTTATTGTAATTTCATGTAAGGACATAGACATGGACATATACTACTTCAAATTCATTTTAATAAGTGTTCTCATTAATGTTTGACTGCCTTTTAGAAATGATGTCTGCATTGGGATTAGGAGATGAAGATGAAGACTCACCTTGGGATTCTGAGGTTTTATTTATTTATTTATATTATTTTTTTATCCACTGTGCCAATACTATGGCTTGAACTCAGGGCCTGGATGCTGTCCTTTACTTTTTTCACTCAAGGCTGACACTGTCACTTGAGCCACAGCTCCCACTTTCTGGGGGTTTTTGGTGGTTAATTGGAGTTAAGAGTCCCATAGACCAAATTGGCTTCAAACTGTGATCCTTATATCTCAGCCTTCTGAGTAGCTAGGATTATAGGCATAGTACCCTGGTACAAAATTATCCCATAGTATTCATTGACTTAGTAGATTTTGAGAATATTTCCTTAAATCCAAGGACAGTAAATTTGGAGTAATATGGAGAAAAATGGGGAGTTGGAAATCCTAATGGAGATGAGCTACAGCAATATAGCAGTTTGCTGCTGGAGATTGTCCTGAGATTTTTATCTTCCTGATAGAATATTAGAGTCACACATTCCAAAGATTCTTGTTAACAAGTGTCTTATTGTTACACTAAGATAATTTATATTCTTATAAGTACTTTAAAGGTTTAATGGTATTCCTTAGAATAATAATAAATGTCTCTTTAAAAAAAAAAAAGATATAGCCAGCACCAGTGGCTCACACTTGTAATCCTAGCTACTCAGGAGACAAGATCTGACGATCCAGCCCGGGCAAGAAAATCTGCGAGACTCTTATTTCCAATAAACCACTCAGAAAACTAGAAGTGGCGCTGTGGCTCAAGTGGTAGACCACTTGCCTTGAGCTGAAGAGCTCAAGGACAATGCCCAGGTCCAGAGTTTAAGCCCCACAACTGACAATAATAATAATAATAATAAATGTCCCATTTTTCAATGTCTTATTATATTTTCACGGGAAATGTAAAACAAGATTCAATTATTCTGAAGTTAGTTCCCTATTGAAATATGACTATAAGGTAATATTTTGTCTACAAATGTTTCCTCTAGACTTCCATGCTATTTAAAATTGATAAGCATATAAAAATAAAAATATATATGAGGTTCTCTACTGCTCCAGGTTTCAATTTAGGACTTTATTTTTATATCTGCTTTCAAAATAGAAAATTTAGATATATCTGAAAATAATTATGAAATCTTTATGCAACTTAGTATTGATATTAATTTTTACAGAGTGTCTCTGAGAGTCTTCCACTAAAATGTGCTGGTTATTTATCTGGGGATGCAGATCCCAGAGGGAAAAATACAGTAAATGAACAAGTAGAAGGTAAGAACTGTATTTTACTTAAGTCAATAGAAGTTGGGCATTGGTAGCTCACATTCATAATCTTAACTATTCAGGAGGCTGAGATCTGAGTATCACAGTTTGAAGCCAGCTTGGATAGGGAAGTCCATGAGACTCTTATCGTCAGTTAACCAACCAAAAGCTGAAAGTGGAGCTGTGGCCCAAATGAGAGGACACCAATCTTGAGTGGGAAAAGCTAAGCAAGAAAATAAGGCTCCAAGTTCAAGCCTCTGCAGTGCCACAAAAATGAATGAATGAATGGTGATTTGTTAGAGTGCTGTGTAAAACAGTAGCATTGATGTATTCTAATAGCCAAAGAAAATTGCCTGTTATTTGCATGGTTAAGGAAAAGAGAAGTGAAATAGCAATAATTTGTCTCTTATCAAGCTTCAGCAAACGTAATAAGTTGAGAATGCCACGAAAGGATGTAAATTGTTCTATTTTAATATATTCTAAAACTTGAAAGAAATTAGGAAACAAAAAGAGAAGAAGGAATGAGTAATAAGAAATTAAGGAGTTAGAGGTGTAGCTCAGGTGATAGAGAGTCAGCCAATTAACAAGCATCATATCAAGAGTTTGAATCTAGGTCTCAGCATCCCATAAAAAGAAATTAAAGAGTAGCCAGGCCCCAGTGGCTCATACCTGTAACTACTCAGGAGTCTAAGACATGAGGATCACGATCTGAAGCCAGCCCAAGAAGGAAAATTTGTGAGACTCTTTTCTCTAATTAACTATCAAAAAGCTGGAAGTAGAGCTATGGCAGCTCAAGTCATAAGCAAAAAAAGAAGAAAAAAAAAAGGACAGTGCCCAGGCTCTGAGTTCAAGCTTCAGTGCTACCCCCCAAAAAATGAAATAAGTGCAGTGAGGGCTGGGAAGGTGGCTTAGTGGTAGAGTGCTTGCCTTGCATGCTCGAGGCCCTGGGTTCGATTCCTCAGCACCACCTAAGCAAAAAGAAAAAAAGCCGGACATGGCACTGTGGCTCAAGTGGTAGAGCGCTAGCCTTGAGCTGAAGAGTGAGGGACAGCGCCCAGGCCCAGAGTTCAGGCCCACGACCAGACCCCAGAAAAAAAAGAAGTACAGTGAGTAAAGGGCATACATGAAGGGGAACAAAAGGAAGTTCATACAGCGAAGGGTAGGAAAATATTTTTCAGAAAAAGGATGAGCAAGATTTCAGAAATCTAGAAAATATATTCCAGTATCACAACTTGTCAAAGAAGAAGAGCAAAACTTGGCCTTTCTTCCTCCTTCCTTACTATTGGGAAAGCATCTAGCTCTGAAATACCTGAGGATACACAGCTTTATTTTACTTGGATATATAAAGTTGTCCCTGTAACTTAATGCCACATCAACTGTTGTTACATACAGGATGGTTTCCCCTCGGCCTAATCTAGAGAATGGAAAAAAGGAAGTATAGGATTCATTTTGGAGAAATCAGTAAAGCACCAGCCTTGAGGAAAAAAAACTAAGCGACAAAACTCAGGCTTTGAGTCCAAGCCCCAGTACTGGCATGAAAACAAAACAATATTAGTTACTCATTGTTTTTGTGTGCTATTCCCAGGGCTTGAACTTCTGCTTTCTTGTTCATGGCTAAAACTTTGCCCCTTGAGCCACACCTCCATTCTGGCTTTTTTGCTAGTTACTTAGAGATGGCTTTTCAAAAGATATTCTGTCTTCAAACCATAATCTTCAGATTAATTTGAATGCAGAAGCCTTGGCTGTTTTAAAAATAGCTGTTTTTTGTTTTAATATGGTAGTCCCTTCATAAAAATCCTTTAAAAACTTAAGCTGATAGCTTACACCTGTAATCTTAGCTACTCAAGATCTGAGACTGGGAGAATCCAAGTTGTAAACCATCTCAGCCAGAGTATGGAAGGCTATCTCCAGCTATTCAGCACAAATCAGGCCTGTAGGCAGAGCTCAAGTGGTGGAGGCTAGCTGAGGGCAAGAAAGCCAGTCAAAAACACAAGAGATCTGAACTCATGTCCTCCTACTGGCAAGAAAAAAAAAAACTAACAATATTCATACTAAACTAATTTTATAAATAAGAGACATTACAGAGTTTATTTCCTGAATATAAAAATTAGTACTTTTAGTAAATGTTACACTGATTTTTATAATATAACATTATTAATATCTCAGAGTTCTGACAATTCTGTTTCTTTTTCCTTTGTAATAACTATTGAAAGCTTGTTGTACATTATTTCTTAGATATGGTTTATATACCTTCTTGTATGAGTGGATCAAGAAACTTTAAGATGGCTAAACTAGAGGATTCAAGAAATGTAGACAAACGAGTAGCTCCCATGGGTATGGAAAAGATGGTTGATTATGTTAACTATTATTCTACAAGTGTATATCCAAGTTGATTGATTTCTTCAGTTAGAAATGAATTTTACATTCCATTGAATTATATAAATTTTCACTTACTAAATTACAGCATAAATTAAAGAACATGACAGACACTTGTAGTACAATAGTAAAAATCATTCCAATGTGTTACGTTAAATGTAAATAAATGCTATTACATGCTACCACCTGCTTTGACCTTGATTGTTTCAAGGTCATGATTTGCTTCTCTCATTAGACATGACTGTTGTCTCCATCGACCAGCATGCACACGTTGGTAAATGTGCATTTTTCTACTTTCATTACAAGTCATTGGAAACATCTCACTTTTGAATTCTTAACTGCATGCATTATTAAACCAATCTTCTTACTTTTAATAATTTCTAAAGCTAACTCTGAGGATTCGGCATCATATTAACACATTCTGCATGGAGATATACTTGGCTTTGAGGTATTTATATATCACTGATTACATGTCCTTTCTTTCTTAGAGTCTCTGGAGAAGTATCCTCTCTTGAAGGTAATAAGCTATATTTTCATCTTGAATTAATAACTACATAGTATATGAAATACATATTTCTTAAATATCTCATTTCCAACCCATTCCAGACGACCACTGACATGAAATCTCCTCCAAATAAAGACGTAGGAAGGAACACTATCCAAACATTTGAAATAGGTAAATGTTGCAATATTCTGGAAAGAAGTACATTAAAACCTGTGAAATGCTTATAGTCTTCTCAGTCCTAGTTCTTTTATTCTTTTCCCCCAGATTGGATAGAAAGTTTTGACATAAATGATGCAAAGGTCATTGTTGATTCTTACACATGAAACAAAAGAATAGACTGGGATATTAAATGCATAAGAAAAAGTTTGAAATATATGTTCTAATCAGATGATTTAACAACAGCCTTTTCCTAATTTGGAAACTCTGTACTTATTAGAAATTTACAAATGGAAATTCTATAATTTTACCAAAGCTTAAATGGTTTTGGGAGAGCCAGGCATACTGTGCCTGCCTGTAGTCCCGTCTGTTCAGGAGACTGTGGCAAGAAGTTTGGGGTCATCCTGAGAAACTTTAGCAAAATTTCTTCTCTTATAAACAGATACTTAGCTTGACATCTGTAATTCTAGCTACTTACAAGGCTGAGATATAGGGATTGGAATTGAAAGCCAACTTAGGAAGGAAAGTCCATGAGTCTCTTATCGTCAATTAAAAAGCAAAAAGGCTCAAGTGGTAGAGGACCAACCTTGAACTCAAGCACATAAAACAAAAATAGGGGAAAACAAAAATGCTGCTGGATTTCTAGTCCAAGTTTTACTTTAATTACTCCACTTGAGGGTTGTTACGCTGGTAATCTTAAGCCCATTCAAATGTTTGCATTCAGAGTAACTTTATTAAAAATTGAAAAAGTGAATACTTCTTAACATCTAGTTGGTAGATAATAGTTCTTTAATATATAATAATATGGTTGTTAGATAGATGTTCTTCAACACATAATATCGTTGGTAGATAATAGTTCTTCAGTATAATGATTCTGAAATATTTCAGATTCAGTGACCTTTTATGTATTGGAAATTATTACAGATTCTAAAAAGCTCTTATTTAAGTTCATTTCTTTTGATATTTACTGTATAGGAATCATATCTGAAAGATTTGCAATACATGCATACATAGTCATATAGCCCAAAGCCATTAGAGATATGACAGTTAATCATTATGAATATCCCATGTCTGAAAAATTCCACTTATAAGAGAATAGGGTTGAAAATGATAAATTTACTGTTATTTGATGTCTTGAGCCTTGAACAGATTTTGAATTGCAAGGATTCCCAGATCACAGTTTAGAACCAACATTTTTCTTTGCCTGGTACAGGAGCTTGAACTAGGTACTTTCCCTTAGCATTTTCACTCAAGGTACCCTACCACTTGAGCTATAGCCACTTCTAGATTTTTGTTGATTAATTGGAGATGAGTTTCATGAAGTTACCCACCTAGGCTGGCTTTGAACTGAGATCCTCAGGTCTCAGCCTTCTGAGTAGCTAGGATTACAGGCGTGAACCATTGGTGCCCAAGTCTATGGTATTTTTAAATTTTGTTTCTGAGGGCTTACTTACATGGAGTGGATGCATGTGTAGATAAGTCTGAGATACTTTTATGCCATTAAAGAGGTGAGAGTCTCTCCAAGTGATTTGTTGAATTCTTAGAGATTTTCAAGTATTTATAAAGAAGTAAATATTCAGCTAAAGACTACACTTAAATTTGTGCTTGAGAAAGTGTAAATTATTTATATTTTCTGTCTCGTTTTTAAACTATTGCTGTTACCTTTTCTAAGTAGTTTATTATAACTAAACATATACATTTGCCAGCAGAACAAAACTTAGAAATAACATCAGAGTCTGAAGAAGAAAGGCTTATTGCCAATGAAAATAACCAGCTGCAACAGGTATGTAAAAATTTAAATTTCTGTTTTAGTTTTTTTTTAAATAACATAGCACAAGTCAAATGAAATTGCCTTTTAAGATCAATAAATTATTATTTAATATTTAATTTTAAAAACACTTTACTTAGAAAAGCTAATATGTTCTTAGAATCTGTAATAAAATGTGGAATTGATGCAAAAAAATTTTTTTAATATTGTTTGGACTTCCACTTATATAACCTCCTTATATGCTAAAGAAAGGGGTCTTTGTTTTGGTGCTAGTACTGGGTCTTGAAATCAGGGCCTGAGCACTATCCCTTAGCCTTTTCATGCAAGGCTAGCACTCTGCCGCTTGAGCAATAGCTCGACTTCCAGCTTTTTGCTGATTAATTAGAGGTAAGTGTCTCATGGACTTTCCTGCCTAGGCTGGCTTCCATCCTTGATCCTCAGATCTCAGTCTCCTGATTTGTTAGGATTACAGGCATGTGCCACTGGTGCCTGACTTACCAAGATCAATTTTAATTGTGTTCTAATTTTTCTTTGTCCATACTCTTTGATTACTGAAGGATAAAGTTTGTCTTTTTTATTGTTAATGTTTTGATTTTTGGTACCAGTAATGAGGATTGAACTCAGGGCCTGGGCACTGTCCCTTAGCTTTTCTGTTGAAGTCTGGTGTTGTACCTCTTGAGCCACAGTTCCATTTCTAGCTTCTTGGTAGATTATTATTGATGAGTCTCATGGACTTCCCTTCCTGGTTTCAGATCATATGATCATCTTCATGTCAGACTGAGTTACAGAGATTTCAGGAATGAACTACCACTGGTTCCAAGCTTTATTTCTGTTTTTGAAAACATTAGAAGATAACAAAACAAATTTAACAACTTGTTTCAGATGTCATTATGTGATCATTACAAAACACTTCATCACAGAATGTCAGATGTATGTCTAAATGAAAAATCGACATCAGGGTAAACAATGGCAGAGTAACAAGTTCTGTAGAAATAAGTTAATAGTAACAAGTAGAGTTCTTAGCTTCAGATAAAGAAAAAATGCACCTTAAGTTTATGTGCTGTTATGCTTGTTTTTTTTTTCTTTTTGTCCATCATGGGGCCTGAACTCTGGGCCTGGGTGCTGTCCCTCAGCTCTTCAGCTTAAGGCTTGCGTTCTGTCACTTGAACCACAGCACTATTTCCAGCTTTTTCTGCTTATGTGGTGCTGAGAAATGGAACCCAGGGCCTCATGTATGCAAGGCAAACACTCTACCACTGAGCCACCTTTCCAGCCTACTTGGGTTTTTTCTTGTCTCTAATTAATCAGCAAAAAGTCAAAAGTGCGGGCTGGGAAGGTGGCTCAATGGTAGAGCGCTTGCCTTGCATGCATGAGGCCCTGGGTTCGATTCCTCAGCACCACATAAGCAAAAAGAAAAAAGCCGGAAGTGGCGCTGTGGCTCAAGTGGTAGAGCACTAACCCTGAGCTGAAGAGCTGAGGGACAGCGCCCAGGCCCAGAGTTCAGACCCCACGACTGGACCAAAAAAAAAAAAAAAAAAGTTAAAAGTGAAAATGTGGCTTAAGTGGTAGAAAAAGGGGACAGCTCCCAGAATCTGAGTTCAGGCCCCAGTTACCACCAAAAATAAAAAACCTGATTACCCAGCAACCCAGCAGGATGAAACTTGAAAGAAGCACTGAGAATAAAAGCACTTGAGCAGGAAAAAAATCAAAAGGTGAAATTCCAGGATTCAACAACAGAGCTACTTACACAAACAAAAGAAGACCAGGTAAAGAGGAGTACTTGGCCTCACCTGAGTTTCAAACTAGCAGTATTGGTTTAGGAAGTTGGAGAAGTGATGATAAATCTGTGAAACAGTATCAAGAAATATCTAAATTCCATGTCAGGCCTAAGAAAAACTGTTGGATATTATCTCTGCAGGGCCTCACACTAATCATTATTTTTATCCTCATGGGGTTTTGTTTTTGTGCTGGTACTATGACTTTCAGTTTTTTTGCTTAAGGCTGGCTCCTGATTTTGGGTGGTCAATTAGAGATAAAAGGCTCATAGACTTTCCTGCCCAGGCTATCTTTGAACCATGATTCTTAGATCTCAGCCTCATGAGTAGCTAGGATTACAGGTGTGAACCACCAGCACCCAGATGTTTATATTTTTCTGAAGGTAAATTATTGGTTAACTGTGTAAGGGGTATCCATTGTCATTGTATGACTTCAATCAAATGAAACTTGAAGAAACTGTATTTAATAACTGCTATGTATTACTGATACCACAGCTCCCTTGGGTTTGGTAAATAAAGCAACTTTTTAGCTAGCTGCTGCTTAAATCAGCACTTAGATGAACTGTTGATCCTCCTGATAACAGGTCCCTACATAACTAATAGTTGTATATTCAATTAGTAAGTTATAACTTGAAATTTCCAGATGCTACAAACATGACACATATCTAGCAGTTCATCAGAAAATGAAGTGAAACACCAAGCTGCTAAAAGTTCTTTTTTCAGTTTTTTAGTGTAAAAACCTAATAGTTGTCCAAATAACCCTAAATATGTTAGTTTGTAAGTGGCTTTTTCCTTCAATTACATGTTTCCTAGATCTAATAGACTTGTCTCAAAATTTTGTATCCATTTTTATTCTTATTTTTATTCATTGAGGCTTAGTTTTATGTAAGAAGCCATATTCAGGGAAAGCTCCATTTTTTGGTTAGTGTTTTGTTTTGTTTTTTGGTATTGTTTTTGTTTTATAGATTTTTTTTTTTACGTAGGATACTGGTACTGATTTTTTTTTAATATGTAAAAGCATTAGCTTTTTTGTATAGCCCTGTGTACAGTATAGATACTATTTTTGCACAAACCCAAAGTTAAATTAATGAACAAGTGGGCCAGCTAAATATTTAATCATTAAATATTTCTTGTGTTCTTATGCATTAATCTGTCTGTAATTTATATGCATATATCAGTGTTCATAGCTGAATTTGTAATTTGTGTGTGTGTGTTTGCCAGCCCTAGGGCTTGAACTTAGGGCCTGGGCACTATCCCTGAGCTTCTTATTGCTCAAGGCTAGCACACTGTGACTTGAGTTACAGCTCTACTTCTGCCTTGTTGTAATGATTGGAGATAAGAGTCTCAAGGATTTTCCTGCCCAGGGTTGGTTTTGAACTGAGATCCTCGTATCTTTACCTGATGAATAGCTAGGATGATAGGTGTAAGCTACTGGGACCTGGCTGAGTTGGTATCTTTGTAAGTAGATCAAGTTGCCAGCATTTCTTGGTATAAGTGGATACCACAATTTTCACAAGTTGAAATGAGGAAGAAGAGCTGTGGCTTAAGTGGTAAAACAAACACCTGCCTTGATCAAAAAAGTTAAGGAACAGTGCCCAGGCACTGAGTTCAAACCCCAGCAATAGCACACATGCACAAAAGACAAGTTGGATTTCTATTAGATGCATGCATAAAAGAAACCTCTAGTTAATGGAAGAAGATGACTTTTAGTAAATATGCTAATTTCAGTTTTATATGTTAAGACTTCAATAAAATCTTTTTTTTTTTTTTTTGTCGGTTACTCTGGGCTTGGGCGCTATCCCTGTACTCTTCAGCTCAAGGCGAGTACTCTACCGCTTGAGCTACAGCGCCACTTCCAGTTTTCTAGTGTTTTATTGGAGATAAGAATCTCACAAACTTTCCTGCCCGGGCTGGCTTTGAACCGTGATCCTCAGATCTCAGCCTCCTGAGATTACAGGCATGAGCCACCGGCGCCCAGCTTCAAATAATTTTTAATTTTTTAAAAGGTATCCAGGCTAAAGAGCAGCAACATATATATTTATTTCCAGCCAGCCTTTTCTGGCTTTCATTTATACAAATTACCTATTTTACTCAAATCATTGGAACTTATAATTTTAACGTGACCACTTTACAATTTTTCAACAAGTATGTTTAGTTTGCACATATTTTCTTCTTTCTTCATTGTTTCTTTCTTTTGTTGACTGGTTGCTAGTAGCTCAGGCCTATAATTCTTAACTGCTTAGGAAGCTGTGATCCACAGGATAGTGATTCAAAGCCAGCTTATCAGAAAAGCCCACTAGCCTCCATCTATAAAATAACCAGCAAAAAGCCAAGCTAGAGTTGTGGTTCAAGTGATAGAGCACCAAGCAAGCAAGCAAAGTGAGCACAAGACCCTGAGTTTAAACCCCCATACTCCTAAAAAAAATTGAGTGATAAAGTCATTGAAAACAAAAAATGAAAAAGCAAGTTATCCTTAATCTTGTAATTGAAGAATAAATTATCTTTGGTATCAAATTTGCATTTTAGGTTGAAGGAAAAATGAATCTCAAAAGTAAGGAAAGTCAATTGTCAGCAAATGTATATAATATTGCTTCCTCTGCTACCAATGATGATGAGTTAAATCAAGAAAGAAAGAGCACAAAAACTGATAAACAACAATTTCCTTTTAAGGACAATGAAAAATATGATGGGTAAGACTATTGGCAGTATTTAATAGTCAGTAATTAATATTTTATAAAACCAATTGTAAAAAAAAAATTTTAAAAAACCAATTGTGGTTTGGGCTGATATTCTCTATTAATAAATTTTGTACTTTTACCTGTGATATTAAGTCTTGCATGGTGATCAGAAAAACATAAACAATGAATATTATTTTTTCAACTATTATTAATAAGTATTAAATAACAACCAAGATTGGCAAAGGTGAGGAACAATGTTTCATTTACTCTTAGTAACTAATTCTTAGTAATTAGTAAGTGAAAAAACATTTTATTTACTAATAGCAAGTTCATTTACGAATAAAATATTTTTCATTTGCTAGCCATAAGTTAATAAGATAAATTTCATTTACTATTTGTAAATTTCATATCCTGTTTGTTTTTTTGGGGGGGGTTTGACAGTTTGTGAGGCTTGAATTCTGGGCTTGGGCGCTGTCCATGTGCTCTTCAGTTCAAGGCAAGTGCTCTACCACTTGAACCACAGCACCACTTCTAGTTTTCTAGTGGTTTATTGGATAAAAGTCTCACGGAGTTTCCTGCCCGGTCTGGCTTTGAACCTCGATCCTCAGATCTCAGCCTCCTGAGTAGCTAGGATTACAGGCGTGAGCCACTGGCACCCGGCACTTTCATATCCTATTAATTAGTAAATGAAGTTGATTTTTGAACTTTGGAGAGATAATTTAGTAGCAAGAGTCAAAGTTTCCAATACAGCATTCTTTTAAACTAACAGCATTACTTCTAGAACTGGATCCTCCCAAGACAGCAAAATATGACTCAAGCATGAAGGATATTTATTATATATTACAAGTACCATATATAAAGTAGATGAATACTTGTATCTTAAATATAACATGCACATTAGGGATGTGTAGTATACATGTTAAGGATTATTATATAAATATGTTACATATATAGAGACATTGTGGATAGCCGTATCTACAAGTTGGAGAGAATCTAAAATCTCATCAATAAGAAAATAGATAGATGTTATCATCTCAATAAAAAATATAGTATGCATTTTTTCATAATTATATTTAAAACATTTAATTTGGGAAAATATCTTAAGCAAATTTTATTATAGCACCTATAATATCTGCTGATTTACAAAAGGAAGCTACTTACTACAGTGACATGATCTCATCACCAACAGAATTACTAGTTCTTAGGTTTAGCGATTTTGTTCTCAAAGCATGAATCCTACTATGTCTGACTCTTCTACTAGTCTAAATATTGTTAGGGGATTGCTCACACTAACATTTCAGTATGTAGTGTAGTGTTTGATATATTAAACCTGGGATTGTCAGACTTTTCCTGTCAAGAACCATATAGCAAATGCTTAGGTCTTGTAGCCTGTAAGGGTCTCTTTTGTACTCTGAACTCTGTAGTAGAGACTAAGTGAATGGACAAGTCTACATTTCACTTTTAGGGACTAGGGTTCAGAGGTAGAACACTTGCCTAGAATGCATAGATCCCTTGGTTCCATCTTCTCAAAAATTTTATTTACACAAACAAGCAATGCTGGGTGCAGGTGGCTCAGAACTGTAATCCTAGCTACAGCCTCTCAGGAGGCTGAGATCTGAGGATCATTGTTTAAAACCAGCTCAGGCTCTTGGCTTCATTTAAAAAAAAAAAAAGAAAGAAAAGAAAACAAGTGGAGCTGGGGCTTATGTGGTAGAGTGCCAGCCTTGAGTGAAAAAGCTAAGGAACAGCACTTGGGGTTCTGAGGTCAAGTACCAGTACTAGACTTTAAAAAAAAAAAAAAAAAAGCAATGGGGCTGTATAGGACCTAAGGCCCTAATTCAGTATCATTTCTACTAAATGCAAGGTGCTTCTGATTCATTTAATTTTTTAAAATATTTTTTATTGTAAAGATACTGTACAGAGGGGTTACAGTTACATGAATAAAGTTATGAGTACATTTTCTATGGAGTATTATTATCCTCTCCTGTTTTTTCCCTACTATCCCTTCTCCCCCCACCTCCTCCCACCCCACCAAGTTGTAAAGTTCATTTTCAACATAGTGTCTTGTATATCTCATTGTTACAATGGATCATCCTATATTCTTGTTTCAGCATTTTGTTATTTCCCTTCCCCTCCCCAAATTAGAAGAAATACATATACAAGATGCAGGGCACTGGAATCAAATACAGTGACAACAGGGGTTATACCATGGGGGAAGACCATACAAAAGAAACAGATTCACACAGTACATTAAAAACAACAGCGACAAAGAAAAACCTCCCTACCTTGGGGTTCATTTTGCTTAGCATCATCTTATATGGTCATGTGAATCATTGAATCTTATGTCTGAAGATACCAAGTCTGCATGCATGTCATCATCCTTTTTTTTTATTGTGATTTTTATTTATTTATTTATTTATTTTGCCAGTCCTAAGGCATGAACACTGGGCCTGTGGGCACTCTCCCTGAGCTTTGGTGCTCAAGGCTAGTGCTCTACCACTTGATCCATAGCTCCACTTCCAGCCTTTTGTGATTAATTGGAGATAAGAGTCTCATGGACTTTTCTGCCTAGGCTGGCCTTGAACTGCAATCCTCAGATCTCAGCCTCCTGAGTAGCCACAATTACAGACAAGAGCCACTAGTACCCAGCTCATTATCATTTTAAAGATAATACCTGTTAAGTACATACCACATCATATTTTACAGCAGTGACATTATATACAACTTGCAAAATTTTACTTTATAAAATAAGATTATTTGCTAAATTTTTGCCCCCTTATATTTCTATTTTAATGATTATTTTATTCTGTATTTGACTAGTATAAACCATCCTAGAATTAGAATGATTAGAAAAACATTGCTCTTTTTTCTGGTGGGATTTTTTTAAAGTAGTGGTACTGCCTTGCATATGAAGAAAGTAAAGAAAATGGAAAAGGAAAAATGGACCTCCAGAGAATCTATGATTATGCTCATGTGTGAGAAGTCTGGTTTAGGAACTGATGGTCTACTATATGTGAAGGATGAAAAAGATCAGGATGAAGGAAGGTAAAAAAAAAAAAATCTCTAATTTCTTTATGAATACCCCTGTGATAAAATGTTAGCAGTGATTACTTTCAGAAATAAAACAATCTCTACTACTTACCTAGAACAATACTGTGGTGGATTGAGATGAAAACAAGAGACTTTGACAAGAACTAATTCTAAGTCTACTATGTGTATATTGTAATGAAGTATAATACTACATGTGTTCAGGGGCTGGGAATGTGACTTAGTTATAGAGTGCTTACCTAGTGTGCATGGGTTTGATTCCACAGTACCACATAAACAGAAAAAGCCAGAAGTGGAGCTGTGGCTCAAGTGGTAGAGCATTAGTTTTGAGCAAAAGAAGCTCAGGGACAGTGCCCAGGCCTGAGTTCAAGCCCCAAGACTGGCCAAAAAAGAAAAAATACTACATGTTTCAGCTCATTTTAAACTTCACAACAGTGGAAGTCTGGCTAGTGGATAAACACTGGACAGCTCCTCAGAGTTTCAGTGAGCAAGACAATAGGGAATGGGATAATCACTGAAGAAGAATGTGAAATTTAAGATATTTCTTCTAAATATAGGCCTTTTAAATACATTTCCAAGGCTGGGCGCTGGTGGTTCATGCCTGTAATCTTAGCTACTCAGGGGGCTTAGATCTGAGGATCATAATTCAAAGCCAGCCAGCAGGAAAGTTTGTGGGACTCTTATCTCCAGTAAACTGAAAGTGGCACATGGCTTAGGTGGTAGAGTGCTAGCCTTGAGCTGAAGAGCTGAGGGACATTGCCTAGGCTCAGAGTTCAAGCCCCACAACTGACCAAAAAAAAAAGATACATTTTTACTAGGCACCAGTGCTCACATCTGTAAAACTGTTTAGGTCTAAAGACTTTATAGATTCTATATAATAAGATGATCGGTTTAGGTATTCTTTGATTTTTACATATTTAATATTTGCCTGAACGGATTTTATATTTTGTTTTTTTAGACCTACAAAGAATGCACATAATGAAAACAACAAGGTATTGTTGAATATAAAAAATAGTCTTTTACTGAAAACATACATGATAAAAGGCAAAGTAAAATACATTATAAAATATAAATTAAAAGGAGGGGCGTGGGGAGGCTGGGAAGGAATGGGAAAGGGAAACAAAGGAGGAGGCTACAATGCTTGATAAGAAATGTACTCATTATCTTGCCCATGTAATTGTAACCCCTCTGTACCATATTTTCACAATAAAAAATAAATAAAAATATAAATTAAAAGATATATTATAAAAGGTAAAGTGAAGAAATAAGATCTTGTTACTTGAAAAAGTAAGTAACAGTAGCCATTGATAAATATATCTTCTTATACTAAAATTAAGTCTTTTAAGGCCAGACTCAGCGGCACACACCTGTAATCCAAACTACTTGGAAGGTGGAAAGCTGGGTAATATGAGGTCACCCTGGACAAAATATTTGTGAGATCCCCATCTCAATATGCTAAAAACAGTGGTTTGCTTCTATAGTCCCAAGGTATTCTGAGGAGTAGATAGAAGGATCACTGTCTAAAGCAGGTCCTGAGAAAAAATCCTATCCAAAAAGTTAGCAATAAAGAGATGGGGCATGGCTCAAATGATACACAGTGCCTGCCTAGCAAGTAGAGGGCCCATGAGTCCAAACCACTATTCTACAGAAAAGTGAAATCTGTTTTTAAGGACCTATGCTTCTGCTTACATGAAATGACAGGTGATGAATACTTCTGTACATTTAGTGTATGGTATTTGGGGGACATTTTGAAATACAATTTATTTTATAGGTCAAAAACCCAATAAATGAAATGGATGATTTTGATGATGACTTAACTCAGTCATCTGAAACAGTGTCTGAAGATTATGATCTGCCTCATCCCACTTATGAGAATATTGTGCTGCTAATCGAGCAACTTAGAATGGAGTGTAAAGGTAAGACCACAAGTCTTTTTTTTTTTTTTTTTAAGCAGTACTAGGGTGTGAGCTTAGAGTTTCTTTCTGGCCAGGCAGACACTATGCCACTTAAGCCGTGCCCCAGCCCTTTATTGCTTTAGGTATTGTTTGACAAGGATTTCATAACATTTCTGCCCAGGGCCAGCCTCTCAAGGAGTTGGGATTGCTATTTCCTTGTGACATGGCCTAGAAAGCTTGAACATTTATGTATTTTCTGTATATGGTAAACACCAACTTCAATGTCTATAGTCATAGTCTTAAAATCTGTGATTTAAATTTAAATTTTGTCCATTTGGGTTTGGGTTTTTTGAATAGGAACACTGACCAGGCTGCTATTCAGTCTTGGCTAGAAGCATATTCCAAGAAAATCTACACTGGTGCTATAGATTGACTAGAATAATATTCTGCTTTTGCCCAATTGTTTTTGGTTTTTTTCTTCATCCTTCAGTTCTCCATTTGCCATCTCTTCCTCAGGTTAATCTTGGCCCAGTGCAGATCAAATCACCAAGTCTGTCTTTTTTTTTTTTTTTTTTTGTGAGTGTGTGCCAATAGCAGGGTTTGATGAGGGAGTAGGTGCTATTAGCTTTTTACACAAGGCTGGAGCACCAACATTTGAACCACAGCTCTACCTGTGGATTTTTGGTGATAATTGGAAATAAGAGTCTTACAGACTTTCCTGCTTAGGCTGGATTTGAACTGTTACCCTGAGATCCCAGCCTTGAAATTTATCTTGTTACCACATATCTATATGAATTAACTCTTCCACATTATTTTTAATTGCATATAGCAATTGTGTGGTAGGTTCCATGATGACATTTTGACATTTTCATACCTGCATATTTTGTACTTTGAACATATTCACCCTTATTGGCTTATCTAGTCCTTCCCTCCCTGTGAGTGTCCCTTTCCTAATGGTTCCCCTTTCCTGTGGTGTGCATGCATGTGTGTGTGTGTGTGTGTGTGTGTGTGTGTGTATGAGTGCACACTTGGAACAGTACTGGGGCTTGACCTTAGGACCTGGGTGCTGTCCTTTATATTTTCTGCTCAAATCTAGTGCTCTACCACTTGAGCCATACTTCCACTTTCAACTTTCTGCTGGTAAATTGGAGATAAGAGCCTCACAGTGCCTGGGCTGGCTTTGTATCAGGCTTCTTAGATCTCAACTTCATAGGCATGAACCACTGGCACTCAGCGCTTGCCATGTTTTTGCCTAGATCTCACCTATGAGAGATAACATGTGATACTTGTCTTCCTGAGTCTGATGTATTTCACTTAATGTGATAATCTCCAGTTCCCCATTTTCCTGAATTATCAATATGTTTCATCTTCATGGCTGAATAAAACTTCATTGTGCATATATGCCACATTTTCTTTTCAAGCTAAACAAAAGCAATATCTTATCTGTTTATTTGTAGAGCTTAGTATTGTGTGTCCTATCTTGTAGACACTCATCATATAAATGAGTAAATGTAAAACCACACAGTGCTTTATATATTCTGTTCATGTATTCTATTTCTATCTTATTTTTCTCCCTGACAGATTTTGTTAGCTTATTGAAAATCCGGGATGCAGTTCATTCGTATAAAAGATGGATTGAACTGAAAAAAAGTCAATGTGATGAACTTTCAGGAAAAATTAAAAGAATGGAAATCAGAATTAGAGGACTACAAAAGGAGCTGTCAGAGATCAAAGAAGAAAAATCACAGTTAGAACATGAGAAAGTAGAATGGGAACAAGAACTCTGCAAATTGAGGTGTGATCCTTTTATTGTAAAAAAATGTTTGAATTCTTAGACTCTAGATATGCAGAGGAATTTCTAACTTCTGACATACCTCATAGGATTTTATAAATTAGTTAGTCTTGGAGTAAGAAATCTTTTGAAAAAATATAACAAGTTCTTAAGAATGGATTCTCCTAGTATTTAAATACATTTTCTTCTAAATCACATTTGTGTGTGTGTGTATACATACTAGAATTGGGGCTTGAATTCAGGGCCTGCACGGTGTCCCTTAGCTTTACTGTTTAAAGCTGTTGCTCTACCACTTGATCCACAGCTCTGCTTCTGGTTTTTGCTGATTAATTGGAAATAAAAGTCTCACAGACTTTCCTGCCCTACCTGGCTTAGAAACAGAACCTTCTAGATCTCAGACTTTTGAGTAGCTAGGATTATAGGTGTGAGCCACTGTCACCTGGCTTTAGAATTTTTTTTTAGTTTATGCATTTTCTTTCTTCCCTCCTTCCTGTCCTCCTTCAACATCTCTCATGCATAGATATAATTAATTTAAATTTCTATATTGAAAAAACACTAATTTTATTATTCAGTTTAATTCTACATCTTGTTCCAAAAGGAATTTTTAATTATTTATTATATATAAAAATCAATAACATTCATTGAAAATTTTACAGAAAAATACAGATCAAATATACTCATTTCCTTAGCCTCATCTTGAAAAACATCTGAAGGTTATCTTTTATATGTTTAGAGTTACCTGTAGCATTTTATGAAGATAAAATTTTATTTCTAGGGCACTTACATGCTTATTTATAAACAACTTTAAAAATTAGTTATCTTTAAATTTTCTGTTTTAATTCAGGAGTAATTTTATCTATGTATAAAGTACATAATCTTCAACTTGTAACTCTACTGAGTAATTTCAAAATTATTTTTCATATTTACTTGAATTCTAGAAACTTAGAAATATAGAGATTGTTTTCTCATTTTTTACTATCAAATAGGTAGGACTGTTGAGAAAATTAAAGAAATTAAAATTATGAGAAATGGAAAGGAAAAATATTTGAGAAATAATACTAGGTTCATAAGTCAGCACCTGAAGGTATAGATGATAAATGAGTTTCTTTAGTTTCTAAAAACAAAATGAATTTTCTAATAAGCATATTTATCTTCAGATTTGCCTTAAAACAAGAAGAGGAAAAGAGAAAAAGTGCGGAACAGTTTTATGAAAAAATTAAGGACCAGTTAAGAAAAAGCGAAGAGCAGTATAATAAAGAAGTTGAAATGAAGCAACAACTTGAAGTCTCTGTTAGAACACTAGATATGGAATTGAAGACTGTGAGAAATAATTTGAATCAGGTACATTCATATTTGATAAAAATTTTCATATTTCTACCTTGATCAATATTAACTTATGATATTCCTTTATATTGTGGGTCACTTATTGAGTGAGATACAGTCTGAGAATGTATTATTTGGTAATTTCATCATTGTACAACAGCATAAGCTTGTATGTATACACAACAGGGCATATACCGCATTGGGTATGCAGGCCATGTCCAAAACAGCATGTGGCATATGACTATTATTTAGGTTTAAAACACTTTAAATATAAATTATGACATTTCCAGCTAAAATCCTTTTAAATGTTAACATCTGATGGGATGTTGAAGATATTCTTTCATTTCCTAAAATGAAGGAATGGAAGGTAATTTTGGTTTAATCATATTTAGGCATTTTTTTGTTAAAGCACAGCCTAAGTAGCTTGGATACTATAATGAAACTATCAATAAACATTTTTTTCTGACTTTTCCTTGTACTTCTAATTAAGACCCATTTTTGCTTTTTCACAAGTTTAGCTATCGTGTATACAGTTAAACTTGAAATTAGTACCAGCAATAGTGTCTCATGCCTATAATCCTAGATACTTAAAAGGCTGAGATTTGAGAATCCCACTTGGAAGCTAGAGTTCTGTGCCACGTATCTCCAGTTAACTGGAAGTAGAGGTGTGGCTTGTGTTGTAGAGAGCACCAGCCTTGAAGGAAAAACTTAAGGAATAGCACCCAGGCTTGAGACTCCAAGCCATAGTATTGGCACATTTTCCATCCCTTGTAGTTAATGCTGCATGTACTAGTCCTCTAGAAATATGTTAGGCTGACACAACTTGGTGGAACTCCACAGGGCTTGTTTTCCAAAGAAAAGTGTTCCATTAAGAGAAGTACAGCCGGGCACCAGTGGCTCACGCCTGTAATCCTAGCTACTCAGGAGGCTGAGATCTGAGGATCACAGTTCAAAGTCAGCTGGGGCAGGAAAGTCCATGAGACTCTTATCTCTAATAAACCACTAGAAAACCGGAAGTGGCGCTGTGGCTCCAGTGGTAGAGTGCTCGCCTTGAGCTGAAGAGCTGAGGGACAGTGCCCAAGCCCAGAGTTCAAGCCCCACAACCAACAAAAAAAAGATTTTTTTTTTAAAGCGAAGTACAATAAACTTCCCTAGATGTTGTGTTAAAAAAAAAAAAGCAAAAAACAACAAAAAAAGAAAAATACACTATGTTGAAAATGAACTTTACAACTCTGCCTGGGGAGGAGGGGGGGGCCAGGGCGGTGGGGAGGAAAGGGATGGTAGGGGAAAAACAAAGGAGGAGGTAACAACGCTTGATAAGAAATGGACTCATAACCTTGCTCATGTAACAGTAACCCCTTTGTAAAATATCTTTACAATAAAATATATATATTAAAAAAATAAAAATTAAAAGAAAAAGAAAAACTTGAAATTCATAAGGGGTAAAGATTATGCTCTTAATTAAGCATTTAGGTCCTTCTCCCAATAGTAGGAGACTAGAAACTCAGTGAAATTCTTCTCTAGGTTGTAGAGGAACGGAATGATGCTCAGAGGCAACTTTCTCGAGAGCAAAATGCCAGACTATTACAAGATGGGATCCTGGCAAATCACCTTTGCAAACAAAAGGAAAAAGAAATGATGCAAAAGAAAATGAATGCTGAGGTATTTTCTTTAGTCATTTTCAAACGTGTGTGTATTGGTATGTGTGTTTATTTATTTACAAGCCAACTATGTACTGCATCTTGGAAAATGTAGAGGATTGGTTTTTTGGGGTTTTTTTGACTGGTCTTGGGATTTGAACTCTGAATTTGGGCTCTCTTCTTTTGCTCAACACTATTGCTCTCCCACTTAAGCCATAGTGCTATACTTCTGGCTTTTTCTGAGTAGTTTATTGGAGATAAGAGGCCTACAGATTTTCCTTCCTAAGCTGGCTTCAAACCATGATCCTCAGATCTCAGCCTCCTAAGTAGCTAGGATTACAGGCGTGAGCCACTGGCACCTGGCTGCAGTGCATATTTTGGAGGAGGTTGCATTTTTGTACCATTGGATAAAGTAATGTTCTCAATTCAACTCCATGTTGACATTTCTTTTAATTTTTTTAAAATTTTGTTTTTACTGTAGTTGGTCTAAACTTCATGTAATGAATCTGTGAATCCAGTGGGCTTACAGTATAAGACTTCTTTGCATTTCTGTATTTGTAACAGAATTAAATGGCTTGGTAAGAAAGCTCTCCAAGTAGAGTCAAAGAAACCTGGAGAAAATCTTACATCTAGCCCTTCACCATGCCCTTCTCATGGCATTTTAAGTCATTTCACTGATACAGGTAGAAGTGTCTATGTAGGTATAGAGTGCCTAGCTTTACCATTTACCAATCAATGTAATTGTTCCAACTTTAAAAATCAAGTGTGAATTGAATATTTTCAGGGAAAGAAAAGTATAACAACTCTGGGGAAATCTTGGCTATTCAAATATGTGTAGACATATTATGGGCTGTCTGTGGGTATACACCTGTTTTAAGTAAGTCTTATTACTCTCTATACCTTTGGTCTGATGTAATTCAAAAAGGGCTTTTCTAATTCTGTTTGTTCCATTTTTCTTTCTTCTTTCATTTGTAGTCAGTTATACAAGTTTTCATAGTTATAAAAATTACATTTACCGATGAATGATAAATTTATCTGCCAACATCTAACCCATAATAGGTCTACATGTATTTGAACAGACAAAATTTTCCCAGAGTTTTTAGTTTTTCTTTTCCTGAAAATAATTCTATAACATATTCTATTTTTCAACATTTTAATATAGTCATTTATTAAAATTACACTTATTGATGAGTGATAAAGCCAGAGACTATGCCACCTATACAGGTTTGACTTGGCTTAATTTGGGTTTTTGAGACAGGGTCTCACTCAGATTACTGTGTAGCCTGCTCTTTTCTTTTTACTTTCATAGATTTATTGACTAATTAAATTTTTGAAAGTTTGGAAATTTTACTTCTGTAAGCTTTGAAGTGAAGTTTAGATCCTATGAGGTTTTTTTTGCAGCTGGATATTTATTGCAACCATTTCATTTTTTAAAAATGTACAGTGATTCTTTAATTTCAGAGGAAATTGTGATCACTAAATACCTCCTTTGTTTCACTTAGGTTTCTTTTAGTCATGAGAAAGAAAAAGATCTGTTGCATACAAATCACAGGTTACAGGATGAAATTGCCATGGTAAGACTAGAAATAGATACAATAAGAAGTCATAACCAGGAAAAGGAAAAGAAGTATCTTGAGGATATTGAAATTGCAAATGAAAAAAATGATAACCTTCAAAAGACAATAAAACTAAATGAAGAAACCTTGACAAAAACAGTATTCCAGTACAATGGACAGATTAGCATTCTCACAGCTGACAATGCAATGCTAAATTCCAAACTGGAGAATGAAAAACAAAACAGGGAAAGACTGGAGACAGAAGTTGAATTGTACCGCACTAGACTGGCAGCTGCTATCAATGACCATGGTGAAAGCCAGACATCAAAGAAAGAACTGGAACTGGCTTTCCAGAGAGCAAGAGATGAGTGGTCTCGCTTACAAGATAAGCTGAATTTTGATATTTGTAACCTAAAAGATAACAACGAAGTTCTTTCCCAGCAACTTTCTAAAGCTGAAAGAAAATTCAATAGCCTAGAAACCGAACTATATCACACAAAAGATGCTCTTCGAGAAAAGACTTTAATTTTAGAACATATACAAATAGACCTGACCCAAACCCAGAGCCAAATGAAGGAAATTGAACACATGTATCAAAACGAACAAGGTAAGGTAAATAAGTATATTGGAAAACAGGAATCTATAGAAGAGAGGTTATCTCACCTACAGAGTGAAAATACCTTGCTTCGACAGCAATTAGATGGTGCTCACCACAAAGTTGACAGTAAAGAAAAGACATTAATTAATATCCAAGACCAGTTTCACGATATCATAAAAAAACTCCAAGCTGAAAGTGAAAAGCAAAGTCTCATGCTTGAAGACAGAAATAAGGAGTTAATCAATGAATGTGATCATTTAAAAGAACGATTGCATCAATATGAAGATGAGAAAGCAGAAAGAGAAGTAAGTATCCAAAGGCAATCTTTTTTCAAATTTTCTGAAGGAAAATCCAAAGGAATAGTTTACTAGGGCTAACTAAACAGCTTGATCATATTGTCTAGTTCAATAAAAAATACATAAATTAGAAATGCATTTATCATAGCTCTCAGAAACATAGCTTGTTTCCAACAAATACAGCTTAGATCTAATTCATAGCACAAAGAAACTACATATTTTAGCTCAGCATCCTTCACTGGCCAGGCTTAAGCTCCTCGTCCCCCTGCTTCTCTGAAGCTCCCCCTCAGCTTCTAGTCCCATGAGGATCAGGGTCTCTGGACATTCATGTCAGAAATTGTTTGGACCAATCAGAATACTCTGCCTCCACAGGAGAGTGTGGCCTGACTCTCGTCTTCCTAAAGAATGCTTAACTAGAAGGCAACTCAGAGTATTCTTACCAAACTCAGGCTCTCAGCAGCTGGTTACTGTGCAATTACTTTGGAAGCAGAAAGCCCAGAGAGTTTCTAGAATGTCAGTTATTTGGATATTCAAATAAAAATGTGTTCTGTGAAACTACAAAGAAAAAAATTAACCATGTCTGAGTAGAAGAGTAGCTAACTGCTCTTATCTTTTCATTTATTCATTGTACATGTATTTTGAAATATCACACTGTACTTCATTTACTTTTCATTTTCTTGTACATATATTTCAAAATATCACACTATTATCTTATACATGTTTACGTTTATGTTTAAATTTTTTTTTCTGGTACTAGGATTTGAAAACTCAAAGCCCAGGTGTTGCCCCTTAGCTTTTACACTCAAGGTTAACACTATACCATTTGACCATACCTCTCCTTCTAGCTTCCTGCAATATAAGACAGTAAAATTAAAGTCTGACAGGCTTTTCTCCCTGTGCTGGCTTTGCACTGTGATCCTCAAATCTCAGACTCCTGATTAGCTAGGATTACAAGTATAAGCCCATAACAGTAGTACTGAATTTGAAATCCAACAGGAAGGGACAGATACTTTTTTTTTTAAGATAGACTTGGCAGATGTTTTACTTTGTGTGAAGACATTGTGTTACCCATAAAAGTTTTAAGAAGTTACAAAATGATAATATACATATACTGGTACTAATGGTCTTATACGACTGAAATACTTTTTGTTTTATGGGGTTTGGTGGTAGTGATATGGTAATGGGTTTTTGTTTGCTTCTACTGGCAGTACTAAAGATTGAACTCTGGGTTTTTCCTTTGCTAGGCAAGTGTGCATATACCATTACTGGCGCTTAATGTTGTCCCTTACCTATTTCATTCAAGGCTGGTACTCTACCACTTGAGCCACAGCTCTCCTTTCACATTTTTGCTGATTAGAAATTAGAGTCTCATAGGCCTTCCTGCTGGGGCTAGCTTTAAACCACAATCCTCAGATCTCAGCTTCCTCAGTAGGTAGGATTACAGGTGTGAGCCACCAGTACCTAGCCAGCAATGCCATCTTTTATTTAATCTTCCCACTTGCCATTTATTGAACCCATTCACAGGTAACTCCCTTAGATTTTTCATTTTAAGGCTCATTTGCTGTCAAATAAAGTATATAACATTCTCAAGTGCAAATTCTGTGATTTGTTGACTTGGCATTCAACCTCTACTTTAAGGCTAATGAAGTGTGGTAGTTATTCATTTACCAGCAAGAATAAATAAAATGAGTAGAGGAAAATTTCTAGCTGAGATCAGGGTAGGAGCTGAAAGCCAGGTTTCTTGCAGACCTCGATTTTATTGTGATATAGGAATCCATTAGATAGGAAGAGAGGATTGGATGTATGAGAAACTCTGGAATTCATTTCAGCCTTAATAAAAATAGAGAACTAGGCACCGGTGGCTTATGCCTATAATCCTTGCTACATTGGAGGCTAAGATCTAAGGATCTCAGTTTGAAGCCAGTTCAAGCAGAAAAGCCCAAAATACTCTTATCGCTAGTTAAAAAGCCAGAAATGGAGCTGTGGCTTATGCAAATGAATGAGTAAATGAATACATACATACATACACACATACACATACATACAGAAAAATCGTCCCACAATGTAGAATGACTAGTCCTTCACATGCCCATTTCTTTAAATAGTTCATTAAGTGTTGCAGATTCATCAGGAAAGGATTAGAAAAATAGCTAAATAGTCTAAGACAGAAGACACTCCTTCTGTGTCCTTCCCTGAACTAACTAATAGATAGGAGCATTATCCACATGAGGAGCTGATGACTTGATGTATATGGTGATATATATTAGAATCTATTCAGAGTTAAGCATTATCAACCTACCTTTATAATAAAAAAAGATTTCTAAAAATTGGTAACATATCTCACCAGGTAGTTGTGAGACAACTTCAACAAGAACTGGCTGATACTTTAAAAAAACAATCTATGTCAGAGGCTTCGCTAGAGGTTTCCTCACGTTACCGCCTTAATTTGGAAAATGAGACCCAAGATTTAAGGAAGAAATTAGATCAAATTAGAAGTCAAGTATGTATGAAGCTTAACATGTCAACTCTGTTCTTCTAAATCTGTACAAATAACATACTATATGGAAGAGGGGGTTGTTTTTTTCTTTTGGTTACGATTGGGGCTTGAACTCATAGACTTCAGTTCACAAATTTCCTTCTGGTACCTCACCTCTTGAGCCTTCTCCAGCCTGGCTTTTTGCTAGTTAATTAGAGGGAGTCTTGTGGCTTTTTCTGACCAAGTGGGTTTCAAACTCCAGTTCTTCTATTTCAGCCTCTTGAGTAGCTAGATTAAAGACATGAATTACAACACCCAGCTTAGTTTTAAAGTAGTAATTTTAGTAGGCACTTTTATTTTGTGTTTCCTTTATAATTAATATTATAATCTTTTTTAAATTCACTTATTTCTTCAACTGATACTTATTTTTCCATTTTTGCTATAATTTCATACATTGTTCTTTAAAATACTTATCCTTAAGGTGAGAAGTATACAGCATTTTTACATAATTGAGAAACTTCTTTTTTTTAGAATGTGTTTGTGACTTTATTTATTTATTCATTTATTTTTATTGTGAAAATACTGTACAGAGGGGTTACAATTACATGGACAAGATAATGAGTACATTTCTTATCAAGCATTGTAGCCTCCTCCTTTGTTTCCCCTTCCCATCCTCCCCCACCCCCGCCACCCCCACCGAATCCTCCTCTCCCCTCCCCCCCTCACCAAACTTGTAAAGTTCGTTTTTCGACATAACAACTTGAACATCTCATTGTTTCAATGGGTCTACCTGTAACCCTATTTAAATTATTTGTTTTTTCCCTTCCCCTCCACAAATTATACCAACATCAAATACAGTGAAAACAGGGGTTATACCATGGGGGAGGGACATACAAAGCAACAAAGAAATAATCTTATAAATGTGTTAGAAACAATCGCATGAAAGAAAAAAAACATTTGAATACAGATTTTAGGGTTCATTTCCCTAATATCAACTTATCTGACCTTTTCTGCTTGACTCAGACATATACTAGTTATTGCAAATAAGGGAAACCACGGGACCTATGTTTCTTTGGGCCTGGCTTACTTAATATAATTTTTTCCTTTGCTAAAAATTAAGACTTTTTGGTGTTACCTCTTGCCGTAGTGAGGTAAGGCAGATAAATGACAGGATAATGTTTCATAGAATCTCCCAGAAAAATGTCCCATCACTTTATCTTTACTTTCGTGAAGTACATTTATTGTATATTTATTTCATGATAATTTGAATAGAAAGGCTTTTACACTTTCCTCAGAAGTGCAAGTATTAGCCAGAGGATTAGAGCCAGCTGTCATCTCAGATAGTTGGAGTTTGTGGCAGTAGGATCTCAGGTCAGAGGCAAACCTAGACAACTTAGTGAGACACCGTCTCCAAATTTTTTTTTTTTTTTTGGTCCAGTCGTGGGGCCTGAACTCTGGGCCTGGGCGCTGTCCCTCAGCTCTTCAGCTCAAGGCTAGCGCTCTACCACTTGAGCCACAGCGCCAATTCCGGCTTTTTTCTTTTTGCTTATGTGGTGCTGAGGAATCGAACCCAGGGCCTCAGGCATGCAAGGCAAGCGCTCTACCACTGAGCCAACTTCCTAGCCCCTCCAAATATTTTTTTTTAAGATGCCAGGACTGTAGTTCAGTAGTAGAGTACTTGCCTAGCATGTATGAATTCCTAGGTTCAATTTCTCAGTAATAGAGTATACAGGGAAAGAAACAAATGTTTTAGGGTAATCTAAAACCTATTTGAAAAGCAAGGAGTTTCTTTCATTTTTCTTTCACTTTAGAAATATTATAATAGCATGTGCACTCATTTACAAGGTATTTTGTAAGCATGTTTTTATTCCCGTGCTATTTGAGTTAATAGGGCTGAATTCTCTTCGGTCCTTTGTGTCTTTTCAGGTTTTTGTTGTTGTTTAATTGCTTGTGCCATCACTCGGGCTTGAAGTCAGAGCCATATATTCTTTTAAGCACTTTATAGACATTCCTTAATTGAATATTTCCAGTAATCCCATGATATAAATGCTGCTACCTCCCTTTCACAGATAAAGAAACTGAGACACAGTGTCTCAGTGCTAAGGGTTACACAGTCGGGATTTAGAATGAGACATTCTGCCTTTGGTGCCCAGTAGCAGCTGAAACTATTCCATGGGCTATCTAATTGTCAATGAAGTATGAGTTAAGATCTGTTGCCACTTATAATATCTGAGTCTTAAAAGTAGTTGATGAGTTTGGTACTTGTAATACAAAAATATAAGTGCTTATCATAGACAGTTTTCTTTCCATTCTACCAATTTGTATACCTGATAAAACATAATTGAAAACCAAGAATTATGTGTCTATCCTAAAGCAGTGATCAGTAACTTTTTTAGCATTATTTTGGGCTCTGTGGGCCATAAGATGCTTGTTGTATTAATATGCAAATGAAGACATAAAACAGGTTTCCAGTAACCTTGTAGCACAGAGCAGGATGGACAGATTGATACTGGATTATTAATAAATATTTATATTATTTGTTTTAGCTGCAAGAAACCCAAGATCAACACACAGAGGCTGTTCGATGTTCTGAGAAGATGCAAGATCATGTTCAAAAGTATAACAGCAGTATACAAAATATTTGAACATGTATAAAACACATAAGCAATTCAATATGAAAATTACATCAGTTGTGGTAATAAAGACATTAGTGAAACCAGGGGATGACTTCAACTATAAGTTATCTGAAGTGCATCATTTATAACTTAGAGCCTGTGTTTCATGTGCATGAAGGCCTGGGTTCAGTCCCCAGCCCCCACAAAAAAAGAAACTAGAAATGTATCAATTTTTCACAAGATCTACAAAACATAGCTAGAAAAGCAATCAGTTTAAATCGTCTACTTTTCAAAATTTGAATAATTTAATTACTCATGTGTTGGGAAGTTTTATGGGATTTCTAAAAATTGTAAGAATAATTAATTTTAAGGTATCTATTTCAGACTTGAACTTGAAAATTCCAAGTTAAAAGTTACATTAAAAAAGCAATCAGGGAAAATCGAAGAGCTTAAGAAAACCCTGTTAAATGCAGATTTGGTAAGTCATTCTCAAACTTATTTGTTTCATACTGAAAAGGAAATTTTACTAATATATAAGAATATTTTAGGCAATATGAAAAGCTTCAGTATAGTATTCATATTAATATGCTATTATCAGTAAAAATCCTCCTGAATTTATAGAAGTTGACTATAAGTAGTTTAGTAGTAAAATTTTAACTTCGAAAGATTGTGATAATATAAAGCCCATATTTTATACCCACCTTATTTAGTTTATTCATTACTCATTGATGGGCCTGTGGATTATATCTGCATTTCTGCTATTCTGGAGATTGCACTGTCTGAGGTCCTGGTAATATTTCATAATAGATACTAAAATTCTAAAAAATTTAAGTAATTATTTGATCTAGAATTCTGAGTTTCTATTGTAATCTAACTTTCAGTGAGGGTTTAAGAATGAATTACTTATAATTTCTATACCTCATCAAGAATGAATATGGGCTGGGAATGTGGCTAATGATAAAGTGTTTGCCTAGCATGTATGAAGCCCTGAGTTTGATTCTTTAGTACCACATAAATAGAAAAGGCTGGAAGTGGTGCTGTGGCTTAAGTGGTAGAGTGCTAGCCTTAGCATAAGAAGCTCAGGGACAGTGCCCAAGTCCTGGCCAAAAAAAAAAAAAAGAATACTATGACAGGTTCTGGTAAATCACACCTGTAATCCTAACAATTCAGGAGACGGAAGCAAGCCCAAGCAAGAGAATCCATGAGACTCCTATTTCCAAATAACCTCCAAGCCACAAGTAGAGCTGGAGCTCATGTGATAGAGCACCAACCTTGAGTGAAACAGCTAAGGGCTAGCACCCATGCCCTGAGTTCAAGCCTGAGTACTAGCAGGAAAACAACAACAAAAAAAGGAATGCCAGGCCATTTTTCCAAAGAAATACATATGTCACCGGATTGTGAAGCAAAGTTGACACGAAGTAGAGATGGGTGCTTGTTCTGCTAGGACTCTGGGAATATCACACTACTCATGGCATTGTAGGGACAGAAACTAATTTTTTTTCTATCACCCTCATTCAGCTGCCTTTCAGAGACTTAACAGTCCAGTTTCAGAGAAGACATACATATGACCGAACGCCACACACATAAATAACTGTAAATGTAAACACTTTGAAAAAATGCACATAAGGGTAGAAATCTTTATCGAGTTTTTGCAATTTAAAGTTGCAGGAAGGCTAATGATGAAAGTGTACCACAGATTTGAATTGTTTTAAGAAAAGTCATTGTTGTTTGAAGTTTGTCCTGCCTGGCATCAGGTTTCCAAACCTGTCTTAAAAATATTATTCATGAGCACCTGAAAAAACATTTATAAAGAGACTCTAGGTTTTTTTTTCAGACGCTATAGATTTTTTAAACATTATTTTTCATTGTTTTTCAAAGTCTGAAGACAAAAAGAAACAATTAAAGAGACTTACTGAGCTGAAACAATCTCTTGAAGACACTTTGGATCAAGAAAAGAAGAGAAGTGGTGAATTAGAAAAAGAGCTAACTGGGTAAGATTTCAATATTTCTGATCATTCCAATAAATCAATAGTTAATTGATTTAACTATTTTACTAAAACACAAATTTACTTTTATACTCTTTTGATTGCCAAAATAATTACATTTGCTCTTTAATGATTCTGAAAATAATGGCAGTGCCTTTGGACATGTCAGTTGTATTTTTCATCAACCTTGAATTCTATTTTTGAATACTGTTTTGTTTTGGTTTTTTATGCGAGCTTGAACTTGGAGCCTGGGCACTGTCCTTTAGGTTTTTACTCAAGGCTGGTGTTGTATCATTTGAGCCATACCTCCATTTCCAGCATTTTGCTGATACTTAGAGTTAAGAGTCCTGTGGATTTGTCTGCCTGGTCTTGCTTCAAACCTTGATCTCAGATCTTAAGCTTTCATTTAAACCAGTAAAAATCTGGAAGCCAAATGACAGCATCCGGCTATGAGTTAAAGCCCCAGTACTGACACAATAATAATAATATAATTCCCCTATCTCCCAGCTATCCCTCCTGTCCCGAGTATGCTATTGGCATATAATCTGTTCACATCCTCCCATAAAATATGTCATCCTTAGGTTACTTATTAATAACTAATGTAAATGTTATATAAATAATTGTTACACCATTTTCTTTAGGAACAATAGCAAGAAAAAGCATATATCTGTTTAGTACAGATGACTTTTTTTAAGCATCTGTAATCCACAGTTGGTTTCATTTTTGCCCATGGGACAGGCAGATAGAGGGCTTGCCTCATATATCTCACACATACAACATTTTACTTAAAGAATAAAATAAACTGTTTTTTATCTCCACCAAAGTAAAATAATAAATGTTTTCCTGTGGTTGAAACCCCCAACTAGACTGTTTTTCTATTTGCTGAGAACTCATGTGACTGTCATTTAATGTCATTTCAGTATTTTCCTCTCAGATAATGTGAGATTAAAACAAATGAGAGGCTCGAGAAGAAATGTATTCATTACCTTACTCATGTAACTGTAACCCCTCTGTACAACATCTTTACAATAAAATAAAATGTAAAAAAAAAAAAAACAAATGAGAGGATGCTAATTTATAGATTTGTTTCCTTTTATATGATAGAATGTAATGCCTGTTATTAACCACTGTAAAAACTTCTTTCCCATCTTGCAGATTTAAGAAACTTTTTAAAATGACAAAAAAGAAGTTAAATGACCATGAAAGTGGGGATTTCAGTCTCCTTGAAGATTTAAAAAGCAGTCAATTTGAAATGGATATTCCAGCTATTATGCTAATGCAGAAGGTAATTTTCAATATGGGAACCAAAACTCACTTGATTTGGAGAAATATAATGCATTGAGCAGTGTCAGTGAACTTTTTTAAGCATATAGATTTGATACCAATGAAAACTCATTTTTCTATTAAAAAGGCATATTCTTGATTATTTTTTGTGTGCCTAGACTTTATTTTTATCACAGGAAGCCACTTATTTTAGCACTTAACATGTAAAGAGGCTGCTGATTAGAAACAGATAGTGAAATACCATTAAGTTTCTATTTTTTTATTTATGTCAGTCTTCCTTTGATTTGTCTCTTATACTACTTTTATTATCACCTACTATGCAGTATAATCTCTTTTCCACCAGGTTTCAATAGTATTTTTTTTCCTTATGCAAAGAATCAGAAGATTGCAAGAAAATGCCATTCAGTTGTTTAAAAAAAAAAAAGTATGAAAGTGGTTCACAGCTGTAATCCTAGCTACTCAGGAGGCTCAGATCTGCAGATTGCAGTTCAAAGCCAGCCCAGACAGGAAGATCTGTGAGACTCTTATCTTCACTTAACAACCAAAGCCAGAAGTGATAGAGTGCCAACATTGAGCAAAAACATTGAAGGACAGCACCCAGGCCCTTAGTTCAAGTCCTAGGAACAGCACAAGAAATGTGTATCACTAAACTTTCATATATAGATAGATATAGATATGGATAGATAGATATAGATAGATAGATATCTATATATAGATATATGGATCATATCACTAAACTTTTATACTGGAAGATGCCACAGCTGCCTCTTTCTTGGAATACAATTTAAATCAATATAAAACACTTCTAGTTCAGAAAAAGACTAGTGACCCTGGAATCTGTTCTCACATAAGATTCATTAATTAAAATCTTATTCTCAGAGTCTTAAGGTAGGTGTTTGTTATTGCTGCTGGCCCAAAATAATGCAATATCATGTCCCTAAAATGTCTTTAGGAATTATAAGGAATGGAGATGCTGGAAAAGGGTAACATATTTTTGTAATAAGAGAGACTTAGAAGCATTTTAAGACAAAGACATGAAACAATTGCTGAAAATCTAACATCAACCGGATACTTCAATGACCGATGTTGAGCCTAAAGAACGTATTTTTTGTAGTTCTTGGAAATTTTAACCATATTTTTTTCTGAATAATTAAAAGAGACCACATCCTGGTAATCTAGAATTATAGTATGTTTTATTGCAACTAAATTTATATCGAAACTTATTAATGTTTCTGTTTTACACTATTGTCAGACAACTCCCTTTATTATCAAACTATATTATTTTATTCCTGCAGATTGATGATCTTACAGCAAAACTAGAAACTGCATCTTCTAAATGTCTACATCTGGATAAAAAAAATCAGTTTCTTCAGCAAGAGTTATTGTCTATGAAAACTATACAAAACAAATGTGAAAAACTAGAGAAGAATAAAAAGAAGTTGGAACAACGAATAGTAAACCTCAAAAGTCATATAGAAAACAATATGATGGAAAATGGTCAAGTAGAACAGTATACACGGGAGATTGAGGAAAAAGCAAGACAGGATTTAGTGGATAAACTAAAACAAGTCAATCTGTTTTTACAGGTTATACATTTATAATGTGCTTCAATTCAGTTCACTACCGATTGTGTTTTCAATGTTTACATTGTAGAGGAAGACATCTACTTCCCTCTGCTGTAAAGCAATTTGTTTCATGGATTTCTCAGAGGATGACATATTCTTTTAATTCTCTCGGGTTCTATCATTATTCTAACTCAATTTTCTTTCAGAATAACAGTATTTAATTAGAGAATCATTTGACTTTTTTTTGGGGGGGGGGGTCCGGTCATGGGGCCTGAACTCTGGGCCTGGGTGCTGTCCCTCAGCTCTTCAGATCAAGGCTAGTGCTCTACCACTTGAGCCACAGCGCCACTTCCAGCTTTTTTTTTTTTTGCTTATGTGGTGCTGAGGAATCGAACCCAGGGCCTCATGCATGCAAGGCAAGCACTCTACCACTGAGCCACCTTTCCAACCCCTCATTTGACTTTTAAAACTAGTAGACATAAAACAAGATTAAGAAGAAAAAGTATTGGCATGGAAAATTTTTACCTTACTCTTAAACTAGTCTAAAGTTAAATTGTTCAATTTTAAAATTTTTGAACTGATTCCATTTTTTTGTTTTTTGTTTTTTTGTGTGTGTGTGTTTTTTGTTGGTTGTGGGGCTTGAACTCTGGGTGCTGTTCCTCAGCTCTTCAGCTCAAGGCCAGCGCTCTACCACTTGAACTACAGCACAATCTCCAGTTTTCTGGTGGTTTATTGGAGATAAGAGTCTCATGGAGGGCTGGGAAGGTGGCTCAGTGGTAGAGTGCTTGCCTTGCATGCATGAGGCCCTGGGTTCGATTCCTTAGCACCACATAAGCAAAAAGAAGCCAAAAGTGGCGCTGTGAGTGCTAGCCTTGAGCTGAAGAGCTGAGGGACAGCGCCCAGACCCAGAGTTCAGGCCCCACAACCGGACCCAAAAATAAAAAAAGAGTCTCATGGACTTTCCTGCCGGTGCTGCCCTTGAGCCACCATCCTCAGATCTCAGCCTCCTGAGTAGCTAGGACTACAGGCATGAGCCACTGGTGCCTGGCATCCTTTATTTTTTTAATTATCATATTATATGAGTACTAACATTAGAATGACTCAGTATTAGCTGAGTGCCTGTAATCCTAGCTATTCAGGAGACTGAGATAGGAAGATCGCAGTTCAAAGCCAGCCCCGGCAGGAAAGTTCGTGAGACTCTTATCTCCAGTTAACCACCAGAAACCGGATATGGCACTGTGGCTCAAGTGGTAGAGAGCTAGCCTTGAGCTGAAGAGATCAGAGACAGCGCCCAGGCCCAGAGTACAAGCCCCATGACCAACAAAAAAAAAAAAAAAAGAATGACTCAGTGCTAAGGATTTAGTTCAGCATTAAAGTACTTGCCTAAGTATATACAATTCTTTGAGCTTGATCCCCATAATGCAAAATAATGATTTTAATAATTTATTTTTTAAATCACTGTTAAAATTTATATTACATACAGTTGACATTGATGATAAATATTTTAACTTACTTTTCACATTTTTGAAGTTGCTGTCTGATCACTGACTCAAATAAGGGAATAAGGGCTGGTGTGGCATGACTCAGAGTCAAGTACCTGCTTGGCATGCACACACAAGGCCTTTAGTTTAATACCTCGTGTAGACAGGCAAGCAAGCAGGCAGAGAAGTAGGTTATAGTTATTATTATTAAGTTATAATTATTTTTAAAACATATTCTCTTAATCTGATTTAGACACAAGCAGCATCTCAAGAAAATTTAGAGCAGTTAAGAGAGAATAATAACGCTTCAGTAAGAAGTCAGATGGAACTCCGGATTAAAGATCTAGAGTCTGAACTCTCTAAAATGAAAACTCAAGATGATTTTAATAAAATTGAAATAGAAAAATACAAGCAGCTCTATCTTGAAGAATTCAGAAGTAGAAAATCATTGTCAAACAAACTAACCAAGTAAGTCGAAACATGGAAAAATCATAGAAAATAAACGAAGTATTTATTTTATATAGCGTAATTCTTAATGAATCAGCTCACTGACTTAGTAGGCAGTAAAAGATAAATAGTATGATTTTGAAAATACCCTTAAAGGTTAAAATTTTAGTTCAAAATAATTTCCTTGTTTTACATGGTTTTTTTCCCCTTAAAATTCTTATACAGCTAGTCAAGGTCTATCAGTCTTAAGCCAAGTATTTTTGAAGTTTTTTATTTTTTTAATTTATTTTTGTATTAGAACTGGAACTTAAACTGTTCCTTACCGTTTTCTCTCAAAACTGGTACTCTTAACTAATAGAGCTTCTACTTCACTTTCTGGCTTTTTGCTGGTTAATTGGACTTTCCTGCGTCAGCTGGCTTCAAAACTCAATCCTCAGATTTCAGCCTCCTAAGTAGCTAGTATTTAAAGCATGAGCTACCAGTGTCTGGCTTTTTTTTTTTTTAATAGAATTTCTTGTCAACATTCCCTGAAACAAATGTTAACACATCTAATTATCTTGAGGAAGATTAAGCATTAAGTACTGCTGTTTCTCTTCCTCTGAACACAGTCTGGTACTTGATGTTTTTGGTGTTGACACTAGTGGTACCTGTGGACACACTGCCCTTTAAGTCATTTTTTATTTTTTTAGGGTCTGGTCGTGGGGCCTGCACTGTGGGCCTGGGCGCTGTCCCTCAGCTCTTCAGCTCAAGAGCAGGCTAGCACTCTATCACTTGAGCCACAGCACCACTTCCAGCTTTTTTCTTTTTGCTTATGTGGTGCTGAGGAATCAAACCCAGGATCTCATGCATGCAAGGCAAGCGCTCTACCACTAAGCCACCTTCCCAGCCCATTTAAATCATTTTTCAGATGTAATGAAGGCATTGCTGTGACACAGAGAACTTAAACACAAGATGAAGGAAAGCATAATCGTTCCTTGGTCAATGTGAGGGCATGTGGAAGACAGAAAGAAAGGCCGTTATCTCACCTTTGCTGCTTGGCTAACAATATGCTGAGCTTGTTCTTTTCAATCACCAACTCAACTGCTCCTTTTTTCATAATGGTTGTTGCTTGGAATTAATTTCTTCCATAAAAATAGGTGGAGTGTACAAATAGAGAAAGCAAATGTTTGAAAATGTTCTTTTTAATCCATAAATCACTTATTAAATACAACTATTTCAGGATTTTTATACATTTACATATTTTTGTATATTTGCAGGGGTTTTTGTATATTTGAGGAGTGCAACATGATATATTAATATATTCATATATAGTAATATGGCGATTTTAATCAAGCAAAGTATCCATCATATCACTTGGAGTCGGTGGTTTGCACCTATAATCCTAACTACTCAGGAGGCTAAGATCTGAGGTTTGTGGTTCAAAGCCATCTGAGCAAGAAAGTCTGTGAGACTCTTATTTCCAATTAACTACCAGAAAAGTTGGAAATAATGCTGTGGCTCGGGTGGTAGGGCACTAGCCTTGAGCAAAAAAAACTCAAGGACAGTACCCAGTCCCTGAGTTCAAGCCCCAGGACCGGCACCATAAAGTGAATGAGTGAGTGAATGTATTTCAAATGTCATACTCCAGGATCTTCTAGTATGGCCTTTTCAGAAGCCAGCACTGTTAGCTTTTAAGTCATGCAACTGGATTGCCATTTCCATCCCTCTGGTAAGTCAGAATTACTGGTTAGGAATATTTTTCCCTTAGACAACTTTAAATTAGTATTTGGATCTAATAGGTATACTCAGCATTTCCAGTGTTGACACTTGGATGAGAAATTCTATCTACTCTTATGACAGCTTTGTAAGGTAAATGTCTTGGGTCTGGTAGGGAAGAAGGAGATGGTAAGCCTTTGCCTTTGTACTCTCCACAGGACTAATGAGAGACTGGAGGAAGCCAACACCAAACTTTATGTGGAAGAACAGCAGAACAGATCATTACTAAGCACACTCAGTGCACGGCCCATCCTGGACTGCCCTTGTGTTGGAAATCTTCATAATACTTTGGCACTCAACAGAAGTTTTATTCCAACCGAAAGCTTAGTGCTTCCTACCTTGACCTCACAACCATCGAGTAAGAGCATGGAGAACTACTTGACCAAGGTCAGTTACCTTGTCTCTTTTCCTTCAGCCTTCAGATTTCTCAGTTTGTCAGTTTCCAGTTTGTAATTTCATGAACAGTATTAAATATTTTAGCCAGCTTAGGCATATGTTAAAGATCACAATAGTCTACATTAATAAGGAAAACAAATTGCAACAACCCTTTAAATCCCCAGAGCAATTGTTTTCAGTGTGCAAGATTTAGGTGGAGTTTCTCCCCCTTGGACTGGGGGTTATAGTTAGTGCCCAGATAGGTATCCAGTGTGATTAACATTCTGGCCCTGGTTCCCAACACTAGTCAGAAAGGAGAAAACTAGCTACAGATGACACCATAACTGAATGTTTTAGCCAACGTGTGTATATATTACGGAAAGATCACAACAGTCTGTTAATAAAGAAATGCCATGCTTGCTATGGGAGTACAGAAATAACTCATTCAGTCCAGTCACCACCACAGCTCTTGTAACTTTAGAAAGATAAAGAGGCAAAGGTAATGCTGTCTTACCTAAGATGATACCAGTTAAGATATCCTCCTTTGTATGTGTGTGTGATGGTACTCGGGCTTAAACTCAGAGCCTGGGCACTGCCCATTATCATTTTTGCCCAAGGCTGACACTCACTACTTGAGCTACAACTCCATTTCTGGCTTTTTGGTAGTTGATTGTCAGTGAAAGTCTTAAAGACATTGCTGCACAGGCTGGCTTCATACCTCTAGCCTCAGATCTCAGCCTCCTGAGTAGGATTACAGGTATGAGCCTCAGTACCCATTGAGGTATACTCAAATAGTCTTTTAAATAAAGATGAGGATATTTATTTATTGTTGTTGTGTGGCTTGAACTCAGGGCCTGCGTGCTGTCTCTGACCTCTTTGCTCAAGGATACCACTCTTCCACTTTAAGCCACAGCTGCACTTTCAGTTTTCTGGTGGTTAAATGGAGATAAGAGTCATTCAGACTTTGCTGCCAGGCTGCCTTTCAACCTCAATCCGCAGATCTCAGCCTCCTGAATAGCTAGGTTTACAGGTGTAAACCACCAGCACCTGGCTTGCAGACCCTTATTTAAAGGCCATATTTTCTAAGTGACGTATCATTCCTTTGGTAATATATTTTGTTTAACTTCAACACTGTAATTTTTTACTCATTTCAGGTGCAGCAGGAGTTAGAAAAAAGTATAACTAGAGAACTAAAGGAAGGTATGCTTCAAAAATCAACTAAATTTAGATTGATTTCTGATATAAGTAGAAATGGTATCCTTTTGTGGCATCCTTTTGCTTTGATTGATAGATTTTTTTTACATTAAATATTTTGCCACATTCATCAAGTAAGAGATAAAATTTTAAGCATTTATAATGTATAATATTCTCCATTCCTCATTTACTCATGTTCCATAGTTGTGTGTGTGTGTGTGTGTTGGTTCTGTGGTTTGAACTCAGGGCATAGGCACTTTAGCTTTTTCTTTCAAGGCTGGCACTCTACTACTTGAGTCACACCTCTGCTTCCAGCTTTTTGCTGGTTAATTGGAGTTAAGAGTCTCACAGACTTTCTGCCCAGGCTGGCTTCAAGCCTTGATCCTCAGGTCTTAGCTTCCTGAGTAGCTAGGATTATAGACATGAGCCACCAACACCTGACTTCCATTGGGTTTAAAAAGTTAAACATCTAGATATCTCTTATTTCTTATTTTCACGGGTCACCGTTGCCCTCACTTCTGCCATCACTGTGAGACTGCTCAGCCTCCACACTGAAACTGTACTTGGGAAATAAAAGCACCAAAACCTTCTTGGATTCCTGGCCACAAAACCCAGACTCATCCAGCAGTACTTAGCCAAGCAAACAGTTCATAAAATACCCCTCGACCAGTAGGGTTTTAAACCTCTAGGCTTTGACATTGGTTTACATTTTGCCTTCAGAAACTCCCATCTCCCTTGCTTGAAGTTTAATCCTTGTCTTGTTAGTCAGTCTTATCCCCAACTATTTAACCACGCTCTCCCAGAGCACCAGCCTCACTGGGCCACTTGAACTTACCACAGTGCTCTCCTCACCTCTACTCCTTCTCACTTCCTTTGTCTTTACAGTATTTAGGTCTCATATTTAGGACAGTATGTATAGAAATTGCTTCTCTTTCTAGTTTGTGTTTCATTTTGTTTGGCTGTTGTTGAGACGAGATCTTATTATGTAACACAGACTGTCTTTAAACTTAGGTCAGTCTGGTCTCAACTCTATCATCAGCCTGCCAACTACCGGGATTATAGGTATGTGCAACCATGCCTGGCTAGATATTTTTGTTTGTTTGTTTGACTAATGAGTTGGTTGGTTTGAGTTTTCAGTTTGTTTGATTTTTGCTTTTTTTGCAGTGCGGGAGATCAAACCCAGACCTCATATACAATAGGCAAGGACTTTACTACTAATAATAGACTATATACCCAGGCCCTATTTGTCTGTTTGCAGTGGATTATAGTATAAAGTTACTGAGAAGCATACTGCATCATCTTCATTCTGTCATTCCAGTGCCTGTCATAGTACCTTCACATGTGGTTGTTGAATAAACGAAGCATAAGGAAAATAAAAGCTTTGGTTCTTAACCAAAATGTTCATTAATCCAGTGCACAACCATGAGCAAATAAATCATGATTGTGTATTAATAGTCCTATAAACATAATTTTCATTCTTACTAAACACTGATAACAGTCCTTGTAGTGACTCATGCTTTATGAAGTATAAAATCTTTGAGATGAAAAACATGCTTGAAACTAGTTACTGTGATGCATATATCCAACTATTGGGATAGACAAGGCAAGGAAAATCAAGAGTTCAAGGCCAGTCTGGGCAAAGTTAGTGAGACCCTATCTCAACAAACATAATAAAAAAACAAAAGTGCTTGGGGTGGGACTGTGGCTTAGTGGTAGAGTGCTTGCCTAGCATGCATGAAGCCCTCAGTACAATATAACAGAGAAAAAGCCAGAAGTAGCTCAGAAGTGTCTCAAGTGGTAGAGTGCTGGCCTTGAGCAAAAAGAAGCTCAGGGCAACATCCAGTCCCTGACTTCAACCCCCAAGACTGGTAAAAAAAAGAAAAAAAGTGCTGGCTGTGTGGTTCAAGTGTTAGAATGCTGCTCATTACTGAAAAAAAAAGTATGTGTGTATGTGTATTATATATATATATATATGTATGTGTATATATATATATAGTGTATCTAAACATATATATGCACACTTACAAATAATTCATTTTTCTCTCCAGCTGCTGCTGAGCTTGAATCTGGATTCTTTAGAGCCTCTCCCCTAGGATCTACTCCTAAATCAAGTCAAAATCTCAAGTCAGAAGCATCTCAAGGATATATAGAGATTCTAAAGAAGAAATACATGATCTGAAATGTGACATTTTATTTATTGGACTGTTTCTATAACATTTTAATTGTACTCCATTAAATAATGTGAAAACTTTACTAAAGGAAAATATTTTTAAATCATACATTGTATGATCAGAATTTATATAATAGTTTTATATAATTAACTTCTAGGCAGCTTTTGAAGTGAAAACTAAGCACCAATGAGTTTACATACTCAAACTGACCCAAAGCCAAGCAACCAGTTGTCATTAATTCTTTATTGAAATAAAACATTGCTTTAGTATATGTATTTTTTCAATTTTCCTAACTATGTATGTGGACCTAAAGATTTACACAGACATGTCTTTGGTAGTCTGGCACGATAGCTACAGTTAGCACTTTAATGTATTACAATTATCATCAAAAGTATTTTTTGTTTTAAGCACTAATTTTCAGTTCCTATGGAGAAACAACAAGGCTTTTCACCTTCTGTTTATCTGTGGTTAATTTTTGGAAACAGTCTTAAAATTAGAGAAAAGTTCCAAATTATTGTGCAAAGGAGTCTTCCCCTCTGAACCACTTGAGCTGGTATATGTCATTGTTCCTGGGTATTTTAGTGCATATTTCTTATAAGTCAGAACAAGTCTACATAACTACAATATAGTCTTTATAATTATAAAGCTAAGCTAATATATTCTATCATTCAGATTATTTTCAAGTTCTGCTACTTCTCTAGTTTCCTGTAAAGCAAAAGGATCATCAGTTAATGGGTTTCACTTAATTAGATTGATTCAAGTTTGGCACATTATTCAGTCTTTTCTTGACCTTTAGTACTTAAATCTTCTCTTTGCTCCCCACTTACCCCTCACATTCCAGGGATCACCATTTGTTTCAGGAGAAAATCAACAGATTATATTCAGTGTCAAATAAATTGCTCTATTTTGATATTTTTTTGAACTTGTCTTTTGAGGTAGAATTCATTTTATTATCAAATTTAGATCATGTTTTGGGGGCTTTTTTGTTGTGGTTTGTTTTGTTTTTTCACAAGTATCACAGAAGCGATTGATATTTCTCATTGCATCCTATCATGTGGCCTATTTTTATTTTACCATTACTGGTGAGTTTAACATTCATAGCTACACATATCTGCTACATTTCTCTTTTATTCAGAATTTGCCAGTTAACTCAATGATGTCCTATATAACCAAAGAAAGTACAAGGTGGGTGATTTTTACATTGGTTCATTGTTACCTGTGAGCCATTTTTTGGTTGTTGTTTTGTTGTACTTTTTGCTTTGTTTAGTCTTATTTAATCTGGGACATTTCCTGAATGCTTCTTTGACTTTCATGAATAGGTCCATCATTTTGTAGATTGCTCTTCAGTTTTCTTCTCATAGAAGGTTACCTCATGATTAAATTTAGATTATGTCATTTGGGTAGGAATAGCAAACAGCACTTAGACCTTTTTCCCCTGGTCTGATGAATTAAGCAGCTATGATGAGGAAGACCCGACCTCATTTCGCCCTCCCCTCATCACTCCGCCCCCATGTGGCCCCGCCCCTCTGCAACGGACTGAAAGAACCCCAAGGCAACGTGCATAGCTTGGGGCCGGCACGAGGCCGGCAGTTGCTTTGCCTTCCTGGGATCCCACGCGGATAGCTGTTATTTGAAGCTTTCAGTTAACAGCTTGAGATGAAGATACCTGGTGGTCGTTGGGAACCTGGGCGCTTACCTTTGAAAGCCATCTTTTCGTCCATCCTTCCTTCAGCTCTGGGCTGCCATACATCTTCCCTCAGGTCCCCTGGAGGTGTAAGTCACCACAGCGGGCCCTGGACATTCCAGCCTCAGCCACACCTTCAAAAGTGCTGCTCTGTGCCACTGTACACAAGGCAGGAAACGTCGCCTGGGAAGGCCAGGCTCCCTGGCACACCGGAAAAACTGACACAGGTAAGGGACCAATACTACATACCACTTCTTTGGTTCTAAACATTGTGGATCAGAAGACTTTCTTGTTTTCTTGAGGACCATTAGGACATAACATAATTAACAAGGGCAGAAATACCTGTTGGTTCCCTTGAAAAAGTAGGAAAGTTTGAGTAGGGAGGTAGCAATACAATTCCTGCATTTCTCGGGCTGGGTAGGTGGCTCAGTGGTAGAGCGCTTGCCTTGCATGCATGAGGCCCTGGGTTCCATTCCTCAGCACCACATAAGCAAAAAGAAAAAAGCCGGAAGTGGCATTGTGGCTCAAGTGGTGGAGCGCTAGCCTTGAGCTGAAGAGCTGAGGGACAGCGCCCAGGCCAAGTTCAGGCTCCACAACTGGACCCAAAAAAAAACAATGCTTGCATTTCACTCAGGTAATACTGCTCCTTGAACCATGCAATTCATTTTGCCACTTGGCTTTTCTAACACCAAGTACTACATTATAAGCTTTTCAAGCTATAGTAGGCACAGTCCCAAGACTGTGCAGGGGCAAAATAGCATATACATTTTTAGGGAGCATCATTTGCAGTACTAGATTTGGAACTAAAGTTTACTAATTTCCTGGGTTGCCAGGTGGCTCACAACTGTAAGCCTAGCTACTTAGTAACCTGAAATCTAAGGAACCCAGTTCAGAGCTAGCCTGGGTAGGAAAGTCCATAAGACTTTTTTTTTTTTTTGGGTGGGGGAGAGGTGGTCAGTCATGGGGCTTGAACTCTAGGCCTGGGTGCTGTACTTCAGCTCTTCAGTTCAAGGCCATCGCTCTACCACTTGAGCTACAGCGCCACTTCCAGTTTTCTAGTGGTTTTATTAGAGATAGGAGTCTCGGTCTTTTCTGCCTGGGCTGGCTTTGAACCGCGATCCTCAGATCTCAGCCTCCTGAGTAGCTAGGATTACAGGCATGAGCCACCAGTGTCCAGCTTCATAAGACTTTTTATCTCCAAATAGCTACACAAAAATCCAGAAGTGGAGCTGTGGCTCAAGTGGTAGCGATGAGCCTTGAGCATAAAAGCTCAAGGACAACACTCAGAATGTGAGTTCAGACTCCAAGACCAGTATGTATACACATTGAAATCAATTTCCTTTCATGATAAAAAGCTCTGAAGAAACTGGGAATAGATAGAATGAATCTCAACCTAATAAAAAATATATCACAAATGTAAAGCCAACATCATACTAAATGGGGAAAAAAATAAAACCAAAGTTAGGAATAACACAAGGTGTCCACTCTAATTTACTACTGAAATTAGCCAGAGCAATAAGAGAAGTAATAAGGCAACAGAAAAAAAAATTAAAAGATAGCCAACTAGGGAAAGAGGTAGTCAAATCACATTTTGCAGATGACATGATCCTATATAAAACTAGGGAAAGAGGTAGTCAAATCACATTTTGCAGATGA